GGCTTCACTGAATCGGGTCTGGACTGACCTGGGTCAATAGATCCCCAGCGTCCAAGGGGGAGGGACAGTCGGTTTTTCACACGCCGAGGAACCCCAGGGGGTTGGCGAAATGTTTCGATGCGTGGGCCCCACGGACTTTTCGACTCCTTAACCAGGGTCGTTTTGTTCTTCCCGAGCTGGTTTTTCAGAGTCCCTGGGCCCGAAACGGTTTCCAGATGCCAAACGACGACAAACCAGCCTCCTCGATAGTCTCGGACGTCAGATATTTGGGCTTGGTGCCGCCTCCATCGCGGGCGCGCGGCCATGGCGTTCTCTCTGCGGTCAGCGAGCAGAATCGTCTGGACGCCGCGCGGCGCGGATGCGGCTGCATTGGCGGCGCTCGGCGGCGTAGCACCGCCCGGCCCCCTCCTGAGTTTCGACGGGTGTGGACTCGGACACGCGCAGGCGTGCTGCATCTGCGTTCCAAGCGAGAGGCGTGCGCCAGTCCGCCGACCACCCCGAGGGGAGACGCGCGGCGTCCGGCATCGCAAGTGCTGTTCGCAGCATCCCGTCGTGTTGCTTGCGTGCGCCCGTGGGTCGTTGGAGGTGGATGTCTCTGGATGCCCAGGCCCCAATCTACAGTGGGGGCCCATGCCAAGAAGCACCCTGCTCTCCTCCAGACAGCCCTGGGTTTCTTGGGCTTCGATGGTCTTGCGATGGAAGGCGCGACGTTCCCACACCAAAAATCGGTGGACATCCTGGGATCTCAGGGATGGGTTTCTTGTGGACGGTTTCTTGTGGAGGGGCCCCTGCTGTACTTTGGGCGCCTTCCTACTTCAAGAGCCGATCAGTGCTCCCTCGGCCCTGCTCTTCAGGGGGCGGGCGGGCGCCAATCTACTTTCGACGCCTTCCTACTTCATGTTTCTACCCATTTCTTCCGGCCGACGTGCAGTTGTTGCTGACTCGTCCTACTATTCCTACGCTTGTGCTCCAGGGGGAGCCTCTTGGAGGCAAATCAGGAGGGCGGCCTCTGGGGGCTCTTCAAACATGGTGTCTGGGAGCCCTCTCCTGGGGCCTCCTGAGCTGAGCATCGCTAGGACGTGTGCATGTTCTCTCTCGGCGAGGACCATCGAGGAACATCTTGTTTCATCTGGCGAGAGAAAAATAAAAAGAAAACAACAACAAAAAACGAAACCGCAATATGCACGGGAAATGGACGTCCGAGCGATGGCGTGCGGGGGGCATGTTGCGGTTGTTGGAGGCATTTGGTGGGAGAGAGTTCCCAGGACCCTTGCGAGCGCCCCTCTTGAGCTCCTCGTCGGCCCATCTTGGTGCCCTCTTGCAGGCCTTTTTCTGACTGTCCTGGGGCCCTCTTGAGGCATGGTGGGGACCGTCTTGAGGCCATATAGGGTGTTCCGAGGCCTATCCGGCGTGATGGAGCCCTTCTCTATCTTAGAAGGCATCTTAGAGGCCGCAGAGGATGGAGTTGGAGTCTCCGAGGGCCTTGGGGGTGCGTTGGCCAGCTCCTCGCCCCCCCCCCCTTGAATGGGATTTTAGACCCCACGGGGAGAAGGAACCAGAGGGAGGCGAACAGCCAATCATCTCACATGCCTCCTCACCCCAGCAAGCGGGGGTCGGCGGATTTCTCACTCCTGCCTCTTGCTATTCCTGCTCCTCCTTCATCCTGCATCATGCTCGTGTGGCACTGCCAACGTTTCCCCCAGATCTCCCTTGCGGAGGCTGCGGCTTCCATGCCATGCCCTAGTGGGCACGGGTGGGCTTCCCAGCAGAGCGCGCACGTTTCAGACGCTCGTTCGTTCCTCTCGGGGTGCCCCCACATACGTTCAAGACGCAGACGGGACGGAATCTAGTTTTCGGGCTCTTATTTGGACCTGGGTCCGGGAACCATTTCGTGGCCGAGGCTCGCCGTGGCCTGAGAAGCCCCCTCGTTCCTCAGGCAGCACGACAACTCCAGGCCTCCAGGCCGCGCGGCGTGCCCACAAACAGATCTCGACAAGCATCACGATCGCCTTCGGGGTAGATCACGTCGTCGCGTTCGCTTCGTTGCTTCTGCGCCCGTTCCTCGCACAGGGGCCCGCACCCCTCCGAGCCCCGCGGCGGGTGAGCCTGGGCCTCGCTGCCAGGATTTCGAGCCGGCGCCCTTCCCGGCGCTGCGGGGGCGCCACGACCGAATCCCGTGGCGGGGCTTACAGCAAGAAGAGGAGGAAGAAGAAGAAGAACAAGAAGTAGAAGAAGAAGAGGAAGTCACTGAGCGCGTTCCTCTCCTCGCGAAATGCCTACTCGCTCGGCGGCGAGCGGGGGGGGAGTGAGGAGGCCTTCTCAGAAGCGGAAGGACTTCTCGGAAGCCCTTGGGACTTCTGAGAGGTGTTCTGTGTCTTCGGAGAAGGCTCAGGAAACTTCTCAGAAGGCCGGAGGACTTCCGTCTGAGAAGGCCCGCCCTTTCTCACGTCCCCCGAGATAGCCGCCGAAAGAAGATTGATTGCGCGGAAGTTCCCCGCGGTGTTTCCATCAGAACATTCATTGTTGGAGCGGCTGTGGTCCCGCACACTCTGGCCCAGGCGCCCGGTGCCGCGAACAAATCGAGGCGGCCTGTACGAAGCCAAGGTTGGCATTCGGAGGGCGGGTGTTCGGGCTGCAGGGGCAGCAAGAACAAGCCAGGATGGAGAGTCAGCCGTTGGGGAAGAGGCCGAGAGGTCCAGGGGCCCACGCATCGAACAAGGTCGAAGCGCTGGATGATCTGCGCCGGACCATCCACGACCAGGGGAGCGGTGGCACATGCACCCCTTGGTGGGGGCCCCCATGCCGCCCGAAAGACCCCCGACGTTGCGCCCCACACAGCTCCCCGCCGTTGTGACCACTCCAGCGCCGGCGCTGGTGACGATGGCGAACTGCGTGGCGCGCTGGTGCTCCCAGCGACCCCTCACGGGCTTGCACTGGCTGTGTGAGCGCAGCTCGTTCACCTTGTGCTGTCAGTGCGCCCGCCTGCGGGTGTAACCGCAGTGCCCGGGTTGCGGCTTGTCGGTTCCCATGGTTCTGACGGGTCGGTGCAAAGGGATGATCCGAGGCCCAAGAAGAGACAGGGGCATCCAACGGATTCGACCTTTGACATCCGACGTCGCATTTTTTATCGGTGCACGGCCACGAGGCCTCTCGACCCGTTCCTGCGGAAGGGCCATTCGTCCGCGGGCCGTTTTCTCACGGCCCCAGGACCCGAAATCGGACCACTGGACGCCGAAAATGTCGGAGGAAACGCTTCGATCTTCTTCAGGGGCGTCGGAAGCCTTCTTGGGACCTCGAGGATCGAAGGACCCCTCCTGGCGGCGGGAAAACGCCCCCCCCGATGCCCAAATTTGGGGACCTCGAAGATCGAGGGGCCCCTGCTGGCGGAACCCCCCCGCGCGCACGGCGGGATAACGCGCCCTTTCTTGCAGCCACGACGACAACGACGACGACGACGACGATGACGACGACGACGACGATGACGACGACGACGACCACGACCACGACGACGACGACGACGACGACGACGACGACGACGACGACGACGACCACGACGACGACGACGACCACGACGACGACGACGACGACCACGACGACGACGACGACGACGACGACGACGACGACGACGACGACGACGACGACGACGGCGACGACGACGACGACGACGACGACGACCACCACCACCACCACGACCACGACGACGACGCCGCACGTCGACGACGCCGCACGTCGACGACGACGCACGTCGACGGCACACGTCTTCGGCGGCGGCGCACGCCGAGAGAGCGCGGCCGAGCTCCGCCGGGGGCCGGCCGGTGGCGGAGACGCCGCGCGCCAGGCGCGGCGCGCCTGTGCGGAGGCCGGCGCCGCCGCCGCCGCCGCTGCTGGGCATCGACGTCATCGCTGCCGCCCGCCAGCTGGTTTCGAAAAAGAAAAAACTCAGGAGGGGAAAAAACACACAGACACAATTAATCGTCGATCCCCAGGAAAATATGGGAATTGGGCGGGAAGACAAAAACCCGGAAAATCTAGGAAAATATGGGGAATCCCCTTATTTGTGTGTATTTATTTGTGTGTCCTGGGGCCCCTTCAAAAACGCCATAAACATAAACTGTTGGCGCTCCGCTCGGATGTCTCGGGTCCGCGCCAGGCCCCCCTCCCTGGCGCGCGGGGCGCGACAGGGGCGGCGCCCGAGGCGCCACCAGGGGGGTCCAGCGCGGATCCGAGAAGCCCGCGCGGACCTCCGAGTTTTTTATGTTGATGTCATTCTTCGTTCCCCTAGTGACGGCCTCGTGGCCGTCGACGTCGTCACCGCCGCCGTCGGCGTCAAGCTTCCGCTGCCCGCGTCGGTCGGGTCGGCATCGTCGTCGTCGCGGCAAAGGTCGCCAGCGTTGGTCACGGCTTCGTCGTCGTCGGTCGGCGTCGGTTTACGCCCTCGTTGTCTTCGCCAGGCGTCGAGGCGTCGTGGGCGCCTGTATTCGTCGTCGTCGTCGCTCTCGCCTAGGTTGTCGGCGACGTCGCTGCAATCGGCGTCGAGGTCTCCGTCGTCGCCGTCGGCCGACGGCCCGGGTGGCGCTGGTCGCCCGCCGGCCGACCGACGTCGCCGGCGGTCGCTCTGGCACGGGCATCGTCCGTCGCTGTCGCCGTCGATCGGCGCCCCCGCCGGAGGAGGGGGAGGAGGAGGAGGAGGAGGAGGAGGAGGAGGAGGAGGAGGAGGGAGGAGGAGGAGGAGGAGGAGGAGGGGGGAGGAGGAGGAGGAGGAGGAGGAGGAGGAGGAGGAGGAGGAGGAGAGGAGGGGAGGGGGAGGAGGAGGAGGCGGAGGAGGAGGAGGAGGAGGAGGAGGAGGAGGAGGAGGAGGAGGGCAGAAGAGGAGGAGGGAGGAGGAGAAGGAGGACCCCTCCGGCGCCCTCGTCGATGGTTTGCGCCGACCGGCTGGCAGGCTGTGGCTGCCGTCGGCGCCGCGGGCCCCGCGGGCGGCTCGACCGCGAGCGCCGCCGGCGCGGCGCCGCGGCCGCGGGCGGCCCGCAGTGCGCCCGCGCTGGCCCCGGCCGTCTGCCGCCGGTCCAGCAGAGCCGCGCCGCGGCGCCGTTGGCCAGCCGGCCGTCCGCCCAGCGCTGAGTCGGGCACGTCCCTCTACACGATGGGCCTGTTTTCCACCACCACCATCACCGCAAGTTGGAGGTGAAGGGGTCCTCCTCCCTCCTCCTCCCCTCCTCTCCTCCTCCTCCCTCCTCCTCCTCCCCCTCCTCCCTCCTCCTCCTTCCTCCTCCTCCTTCCCCCCTACAACTTCTGATGGTGGTGGTGGAAAACAGGCCCATCACTACAAGAGGAATACTCGAGAATAGGGAGAAAAAAGTCTCGGGACATGTTTGACAAATTTTGGAAATGTTTGATTGCTTGATTGCTTCTAGGAGGAGGACATGCCCGACCTAAGCCCAGCGCCACCGTCAGGGGCACCGTCAGGGGGGGGGGATAGGTTCAGGGGGGGGGCATCGACTTCCAATAGCCCATTGATCGCCGATTGGGGGGGTAGGCTCGACGTTCGAGGTTCGAGGTTTTCGGGCTTTGCTGTCGGCCCTCAGCGGTTGTCCAGCCTAGGGATGCCTTCCAGCGGCTGCGCCTCGCTGAGAGCGTTTCGGGGGTGCCCAGATCGTCCCGAACGGCCGCAGACGACCCGAGATACGACCCGAAAAGCAACGATTTGGTGGATAGGCTCAGGGGGGGATGGGGGGGATGTATCGAACTCCAATCGCCCATGGATCGCCGATAGGGGCCCGATAGCCCATCCCACCTAGGAACGTGGGGATCTGCTATCGAGGGTCAATCGCCGATCTGTCGGCGACGCATCGCCAATTCCAGCTCGATGTTTCTCACTCTGGGCCAGTCCCCCCCATACATCGGCCCCCCTCGCACCGAAGTGGGCACTCCCAGACTTCCAGCGTGGTGAAGCAGCTCGCCCTCGCCCTCGAGGGTTGCAGATATGTGTCTTAGGTTCCCAGAGTTTGTCTGGCATTGGGACGTTTTCCGGCAGGTGCGCTTCGCCGAGAGCCTTCTGTGGATGCCCGAGAATCGTCCGCGTCGGACGCTGGAGACCCGAGCTAAGACCCGCAAGCGAGATCCTCTCGCGTCGTGACAAAAGCTCGGCGGAAATATTTCGCCAATGTAGGCCTCTGGAGGCCTTCGAGGCCGAGGTCGTCGCCTTGGACACGGGTCTGAGAGCTCTTCTGAACGCCTTCTCTTCCTCCTCTGCCGGCCCTCTCCTCCCCTCCCCCTGTGGTTCCAACAGTTTTACAGAGCACACAGCGCCGCCAATCTGTCTCCGGAGAGGTACAGCACAGGCAGTCCATGGACTCGAGCCGAAGTCTGAAAGAAAGAAAGGCCTCTGGAGGCCCTCGCCGGGCTGCGGGACCACCGAAAAAAACGAGCCGGGGTGAGAAGCTGGCCCAGGGGAGAAAGGATCGGGACTCCTGGCGACCCCGCATTATACATCGAGTGCCTGGGCCTGTGCCCAGTGGCGCGTGCTCTGGCAGCGCGCAGGAGGGCCGCGGGAAAGCGCCGGTCTCGCGCGGCATGGCGCAGGCGAGCGGCAGGAGAGGCGCATCGATCCGAGCCTCCTGCCAGGTACAGTCGGGGCGCTGAGGAAGGAACCCTTTTCGTCGGGGAGGGGCTCCGTGTTCCTTCATTGTTCTGCAGTTTGCCTTCGGTTTTCCTGAGGTTTTCGATGGGAAATCGAAGTTCAACTTGTGGATCTAAGGGGCCCCGTTCCTTATTTAGGGTTCCTTAGGTCAACGCCCCGACGGTACCCGTCAGGGTGGCCCGGAGTCGCGCCGCTCGGGCCGCACCTGCTCGGGGGCCAGCGCCCACAGAGGTCTGCCAGTCTCCGCTGATGCACTCCACGGTTGGCCCGGCATCAAAAAACGCAGCACGGGCGACGAAAGAGAACTGGGTCGTCTTGGCCGACATTGGCCCTCAAGCTGGTCGCGTAAGGTCGCGCGTAAGCGCCATCGCTTCCGGCGCAGCGTGCAGCGCTGGCGGCCCGCGTGAGCCACCGCGTCGGGTCGCTATGTCACCTCGCGTGAGACCCGTTTTGAGCGTCGCCCACATAGGGGGCCAGACCTCCTCTTCGCCCTCCGCTACTCTGTGGCTGGCCGGTGTGCGCGATGCGGCCCTGGCGGACCCAGGTCTGGGTTGACCCAGGTCAGCGCGTCCCCGAGCCGCGTCGTCGACGACGAGCCTCGAACAAGCTGCTCGCTGTTCTCTTTTCGCTATCGTTTCCTTATTGTTTTCCCGATCGGCGCGGGCCCTCGCACCCTCCCCCTCCTCCCCCCCCATGGAGAAGGTCTTGTCTGTTTATGGAGCCTGTTTCGAGCAGGTGGAGTCTCCCCCATAGGACGCACTGTTGCGCACAGTCGCATTAAGCAGAGGTCCGGAACCAGACCCCCCCCCCTCCCCCTTCCGCCCAATGCCGAGACGCCGAATAAGAAATGCTCACCTCCTGCGTGGATGCCAGTCTCGGGCCCCGTGGCCGTCAAAGAACCGATCCGATGGGAGACCTTGCCCAGGGTGTGGAGCCCTGGAAGGGTCTAAACAATTTTGAGCGCATCTCGGCAGTCGACAACGACGACGACAACGACGACGACGACGACGACGACGACGACGACGACAACGACGACAACGATGACGACCACGACCACGACCACGACCACGACCACGATGACGACGACGACGACGACGACGACGACGACGACGACGACGAAGACGACGACGACGACGACGACGACGACCACGACCACGACCACGACCACGACCACGACCACGACCACGACCACGACCACGACCGCGACGACCACGACCACGACGACCACGACGACCACGACGACGACGACGACGACGACCACGACGACGACGACGACGACGACGACGACGACGACGACGACGACGACGACGACAACGATGACGACGACGACGACGACCACGACGACCACTACCACGACGACCGCGACGACCAGACGACGACGACGACGACGACGACGACGACGACGACCACAACGACCACAACGACCACGACGACCACGACGACGACGACCACCACCACCACGACCACGACGACGACGACGACGAGGACGACGACGACTTTGTTTTCAGAGGTTCTCGTCGCCACCGCTGGACGCATCTCGGAAAACCGGCCAGGACGGATCCAGAGAGGGCGCCAGGAGGATGCAGGGGGAGGATGACGAAGAAGGAGGAGCAGGACCACGACGACGGCGTTAAAACGACGACGGCAAAAACGAAAACGACGACAAAGACGACAACGACGACGCAGAAGATTGCAATTATCGACAACGGAGACGACGACCACGACCACGACCACGACCACGACGACGACGATCACCACGCCGACCACGACGACCACGACGACCACGACGACAACGACGACAACGGCACGACCACGACGACGACGACGACGCAGAAGATTGCAAAAAAACAACGGCAGAAAAGACGACGACCACGACCACGACCACGACGACCACGACGACAACGACGACAACGACGACGACGACGCCGACGACGACGACGACGACCACCACCACCACCACGACCACGACGACCACGACGACGACGACGACGACGACGACGACGACGACGACGACGACGACAACGCGACGACGGAAACGAAAGAGGCGACGCCGACGACGACGACGACGTCGACGACGACGGAAACGACGTCGGCGGCGGCGGCGGGCGGCGGGCAGCGGGCGGTGGGCGGCCCGCGCGCGAGCCAGCGGCGAGCGCGCGCCCGTGCCGCGCGGCAGTCCTCGGCGCCGCGGCGGGCGCGCGGGCGCTGTCCCACGCGGAGTGCCGGGGCCGCACCGCCAGGGAGCCGCTCCCAGTCAGGGGCCAGCGGCGGCGGCGACGACGGTGACGACGACCCCAGGTCTCCGGCGAGCTGATATTGTGAAGGCTTTTAGCTCCGGTGCCGCCGACCCTGAAGGACGACGGCGACGACGACGACAAAGTGAGGGCCCCGCCACAGGCTCGGGACACGGGGAGGGAGGGGATCTGGTATTTTCGATCCGGGCGCTGCTCGTCGGTTCGGGCTTTCGGGGGGCCGTTTTCAGGCCCCAGGACCACCAAAAATGGGCCAAGAGCGCGAAACCAACCCCTGGGGGAAGAGGTCGGGGGCCCTGGGACCGCGGATTGAAAAAACAACATCGGAGGATGAGTGGGAGCTCGGCAGCGGCAGCGGCCGTCGCCACCGGCGACTACCTCGGCGGCGGCGGCCGTGGCGACGGCGGCGGTGACCTTCGCCATGAGGCAAGCGGATCCTGAGGTGTTTCCCCGCTTTCGGGCTCTCGGTGCCTTCTCCGGGGCCCAGTGACCGTCGGAAGACAGCTCGGGACGGAACTGCCGTCCTGGGGAGAGGCCTTGGGGTCCAGGATATGTTTCCCTCAGGACCCTCCTCAGGAGGGGAGAAAAACACAGAGGCACAATGAAACGTCGACCCCCAGGAAAATATTGGAAAATATAGGAAGTGGGGGAATAAACACCCGGACCCAATAATTGGCGTCTATTAAGCGGCCCTGGGCGTTTACTAAACAGCCCTGCCCTGTTCGATTCCCTCCTCGGGTGCGTTTGCGACACGGCTTCACGTGTCGGGGTGACTCTTACCAGGGTGGATCGTCTCTGCTCTCTCTGAGACGCAAACCCAGAAAGATGGAGGAAAACGTGTGGGAATCCTGGGCGTTGCGTCTGTCTATTTATGTGTACTCCTGGGCCCCTCTGCCATCTCCTTCGTGCCGAGGCCTCGGCGGCGACGGGCCTCTCACGAGGCGGCGGCGAGCCTCGGCGGCAGCTGCGGCGGCAGCGCCCACGCGCCAGCGGCGGCGGCCCTGCGCGGTGTCGTGGGAGAGACCGCGCGGCGGCCAGCGGCTGCGGCGACCTCGGTGGGGACCCCGCTCGGTCCGACCTGTGCGAGTCGATTCCTCTCCGATCTCGGCGGGCGGGCGCCCGCCTTTCGAAGAATAAGAAAGCAAACGCAAACATCCTCCTCCTCCTCCTCCTCCTCCTCCTCCTCCTCCTCCTCCTCCTCCTCCTCCTCCAGAGCCGCCCCTGGCGCGCGGAGCTCCGATCTCGGCGGGCGCCCGCCTCTCGAAGGATAGAGGAGGCCATAAATCGGGAGGGAAAGAGACACGCAGGCACAACGAATCGTCGATTCCCCCGAAAACACATAGGAAAAGATGGGAAGTGGGGGGGAAGACAAAAACCCCAAAAAGTGTGGGAAAACATGGGGAATCCTGTTATTTGTGTGTATATCTCTTTGTGTGTCCTGGGGCCCCTTCAATAAACACAAACTGTTGGCGCAACGCGCGGATTTCTTGGATCCGCGTTGTGGCCTCCCTGGCGGCGCCTCCAGCGCCGCCCCTGGCGCGCTTGGCGCGCTCCGCGCGCCAGCGAGGGGGCTCCAGCGCAGATCCAAGACATCCGCGCGGAACGCCAAAAGTTGATGTTTGTTGCGTATGTTACCTAACAGCTTTCGCTGATAGGCTTCTAGTGGACTCAAAAGAGAGCAGCAGATGACTCCACATGGGGGTCTGGGCGGCATCCGGGGAGCTGTGTCCGAACGAACTCGTTTTTCGCAAACAGTCACACACTTCGTGCTCTTCGACCTCCCAGAACTCCATTCCCGGGCCACATTCTGAATGCCCGGAGCCAACTGTAGACCACTTCGTGGTCTTCGAGTTCCCAGAACTCCATTCCCGGGCCACATTCTGAATGCCCGGAGCCAACTGTAGGCCACTTCGTGCTCTTCGACCTCCCAGAACTCCATTCCCGGGCCACATTCTGAATGCCCGGAGCCAACTGTAGACCACTTCGTGGTCTTCGAGTTCCCAGAACTCCATTCCCGGGCAACATTCTGAATGCCCGGAGCCAACTGTAGGCCACTTCGTGCTCTTAGCCTTCCCAAAACTCCATTCCCGGGCCACATTTTGAATGCCCGGAGCCAACTGTAGGCCACTTCGGGGTTTTCGAGTTCCCAAATGTCCACTCCCGGGCCACATTTTGAATCCTGAGGCAGGCTAATACTGAAGCGTGGGCAGGCTGAGGCTGAGGCAGGCTGAGGCGGCAGGCTGAGGCTGAGGCTGAGGCAGACTGAGGCTGAGGCTGATGAGGCTGAGGCTGAGGCTGAGGCAGCAGGCTGAGGCTGAGGCTGAGCTGAGGCTGGCTGAGGCTGAGGCTGCAGCTGATGAGGCTGAAGGCTGAGGCTGAGGCAAGCAGGCTGAGGCTGAGGCTGAGGCAGGCTGAGGCTGAGGCTGAGGCAGGCTGATGCTGAGGCAGAGGCTGAGGCTGAGGCTGAGGCTGATGCAGGCTGAGGCTGAGGCAGGCTGAGGCTGAGGCCGAGGCTGAAGGCTGAGGCTGAGGCTGAAGCAGGCTGAGGCTGAGGCAGAGGCAGGCTGAGGCTGAGGCTGAGGCAGGCTGATGCTGAGGCAGGCTGAGGCTGAGGCTGAGGCTGATGCAGGCTGAGGCTGAGGCAGGCTGAGGCTGAGGCCGAGGCTGAAGGCAGACTGAGGCTGAGGCTGAGGCAGGCTGAGGCTGAGGCTGAGGCTGAGGCAGGCTGAGGAGGCTGAGGCTGAGGCTGAGGCAGGCTGATGCTGAGGCAGGCTGAGGCTGAGGCTGAGGCTGATGCAGGCTGAGGCTGAGGCAGGCTGAGGCTGAGGCCGAGGCTGAAGGCAGACTGAGGCTGAGGCTGAAGCAGGCTGAGGCTGAGGCTGAGGCAGGCTGAGGCTGAGGCTGAGGCAGGCTGATGCTGAGGCAGGCTGAGGCTGAGGCTGAGGCTGATGCAGGCTGAGGCTGAGGCAGGCTGAGGCTGAGGCCGAGGCTGAAGGCAGACTGAGGCTGAGGCTGAAGCAGGCTGAGGCTGAGGCTGAGGCTGAGGCAGGCTGAGGCTGAGGCTGAAGCAGGCTGAGGCTGAGGCAGGCTGAGGCTGAGGCTGAGGCTGATGCTGAGGGCTGAGGCTGAGGCAGGCTGAGGCTGAGGCCGAGGCTGAGGCTGAGGCTGAGGCTGAAGCAGGCTGAGGCTGAGGCTGAGGCAGGCTGAGGCTGAGGCTGAGGCAGGCTGATGCTGAGGCAGGCTGAGGCTGAGGCTGAGGCTGATGCAGGCTGAGGCTGAGGCAGGGTGAGGCTGAGGCCGAGGCTGAAGGCAGACTGATGCTGAGGCTGAAGCAGGCTGAGGCTGAGGCTGAGGCAGGCTGAGGCTGAGGCAGGCTGAGGCTGAGGCTGAGGCAGGCTGAGGCTGAGGCTGTGACTGCGACTGCCGTTGCCACTGCGACTGCCATCGCGAATGCGACTACGACTGCGAGAACAGCAGAATTCTACAACAGGATTCTCATGTGAATCGTAAGGGGAATGCTTCCAGATATGCTCCTACACATCGCTGTTAGGTTGCTTTGCCGGGATAATGTTTTTCTTCTAGACCACGGCAGGGTCCATCTCGGTCCGATCTATCCGATTCGGTTCCTCTCCGATCTCGGCGGGTCGGTCCAATCTATCCGATTCGGTTCTTCTCCGATCTCGGCGGGCGTGTTGGGGCGGTCTTGGGGGCCCCCCCGGCTTCAGCGGTCGCTCGTATAACTAAGACTGAACAGCTGGTGAGTCCAAGGTCATACGAGAACAGATGCAGGCCTGGACACCTCCCGCCCTCCTCCTCCCTCATCCCTCCTCCCTCCTCCTCCCCCTCCTCCTCCTCGTCCTCCTCCTCCTCCTCCTCCTCCTCCTCCTCGTCCGCCGTTCGCACTTTTACCGCCGCTCGGTTCTTTGGGCGGACCGAAGCCCAGTCTAATTGTACAGATGCGCTGCGTCATGTTTCAGCCAACCTGCTCCTAACGGCGTGCATCGGGGCCTCCCTCGGTGGGCCCCGTCTTAGGACCTCTTGGGGACACGCGGCATACGCAGTTCGGCCTCAAAGGGCCAGGACGAGTGTGGACATCTGGCAAATCAGGGCCCACATCGTGGGCACCCTGGAGCCATCTCGGAACCATATTTGACGATCCAGGTGCCGCCTCGGGGCAATCTTGGACCATCCCGGAACCGCCCGTCCGTCCCTCGGGCGGTGCCGAAGGCGTCCATGGCGCAAGCTGCCCCGGGATTTCCAGGGAGCCTCCCACGTCCTCTTGAGCACCCCTCACAAGGCCAAGAGGGCGCCATGGGCTCCAACATGGCGCGGAAAGCCAGGAGCACCTTTGGCCAGGAACACCATTCGCAACAACCGTATCCCCGTCCTCTCCTCCTCGATCCCCGCTTTCCACCCATTGTCGTCCGCCCAAACCCACCCGCCTTCCGCCCACGCTCTCTGTCAGCCCCAACCCGCCCCACCTCCTTTTTTGCCTCCCTCCTCCCCGCCTTCCACCCATTTACCCCTCCCCCCCCCCGCCCGCCAGAACCCATCCCTCCTCCCCCCTTCCACTTTCCCCCATTCCCTCCTTCCACCCATCCCCCTTTTTGTTTGTCTCTCTCTCTCTCTCGCTCTCCCTCTCTCTCTCTCTCTCGCTCTCCCTCTCTCTTTCTCTCTCTCTCTCTCTCTCTCTCTTTCTCTCTCGCTCCCTCTCTCTCTCTCTCTCTCTTGTTCTCTCTTTTTCTCTCTCTCTCTCTCTCTCTTTCCTCTTATATTTTTATATATATATAAATGAAAGAGCGTGTTCTACCGCTGCTGGCGGAAAACCGGGGGGGGTCACTACCGGATCGAACCCCTCCCCCCCCCTCCGGAAAACCGGGGGGGGTCACTACCGGTTCGAACCCCTCCCCCCCCCCAGTTCATCATGAAAAGGGGGGGGTGACTACCGGTTCTAACCCCCCCCCCCCAAGAACTCGAAAACCGGGGGGGGGTCACTGCCAGTTCGAACCCCCCCCCCCCCCTCTCGAAAACCGAAGGGGGGTGCGGACAGTGGTGGGGACGGTGGTGGTGGGGACAGTGGCGAGGGGACAGCGCGACAGTGGTGGGGACAGTGGGACAGTGGTAGGGACGGTAGTGGTGGGGACAATGGTGAGGACAATGGTGGGAACAGTGGGGACAGTGGGACAGTGGTGGGGACGGTGGTGGTGGGGACAGTGGTGTGGGGATAGTGGGAACGTAGTTGAAACAGTAGGACAGTGGAGGGTACAGTGGTGGTGGGGACAGTGGTGAAGGCGGTTGCGAGGACGGCGGTGGGACAATGGGACAGAGGTACAGTGGGGACAGTGGTGGGGACAGTGGGGACAGTGGTGGGAACAGTGGGACAGCTCAGTGGTTCGAACCGGTAGTGACCCCCCCCTCCGGTTTTCGAGGGGGGGGGGGGGTTCGAACCGGTAGTGACCCCCCCCGGTTTTCGAGTTCGAGGGGGGGGGGGAGGGGTTAGGGGAGGGGGGGGTTTTGCCGGGGAAGGGGGGGGTGGAAGGGGGGGGGGGTTCCAGCAGGGGGGGGGGGGGATTTTCGGAGGAAGCGGCGGTGGATCACGCTCTCTCTCTCAGATATATATATATATATACACATATATATACACACATATACATATACATATACATATACATATATGTATATATATACATGCATATACATATACATATACATATACATATACACATACACATACATATACATATACATATACATATACATATACATATACATATACATATACATATACATATACATATACATATACATATACATATACATATACATACATACATACATACATACATACATACATACATACATACATACATACATACATACATACATACATACATACATACATACATACATACATACAATACCTCTCTCTCCTCCCTGATCCGCCCCTCCCGCCGCCCCTTCCTCCGCCCATCCCCCTCCCCCCGTCCGCCGCGGCCCCCGCCCTCTCCCTGCCTCGCCCCGCGCCCTGGCGGCACCGCCTCCACTCCACGGCTCCGTGTGCGAGTGGCCGACGCCACGGCGCCACCCCTCCCGCTTCTCGGAAGGGGCCGCGCCCCTGGCGCGCGCCGCGAGCGCCCGTCCCGTCCGTTTTTGTTCCCGCCGTCTCCCCGTGCAGGAGATCGTCCAGACCTACAAGCTTGACAGGGTACTGAGCACGAGGCGCTGGGAGGGCCGCGGCGGCGATGGAAGGCGAGGAGGAGCAGGAGGAGCAGGGGGAGCAAGAGGAGCGGGGTGGGGAGGACGACGACGACGACGACGACGACGACGACGACGACGACGACGACGGCGGCGGTGGCGGTGGCGGCGGCGGCGGCGGCGGCGGCGGCGGCGGCGGCGACGGCGACGGCGGCGGCGGCGGCAGCGGCGACGGCGATTGCGACGGCGACGGCGACGGCGACGGCGACGGCGACGGCGACAGCGACGGCGGCGGTGGTGGCGGCGGCGGCGGCAAGAGGATGGAGAGGATGGAGACGACGACGACGATGACGACGACGACGAGCAGTTGAGGAGGAGGAGGAAGACAAAGAGAAGGAAGCGGCATCAGGACGGGAAGATGGTTGGAGGGGGGAACGACGGGGGACGATTGGAAACGAGTCGGCCTTGCCCGCGGGGCCGTGCTACACCCACCGACGCGAACGCACTTCAGGCCAGGCACCAAAGCCCCCGGCTTGACATGCGCTCGCGCCGCTACAAGGAGGGAGGATGGGAGGAGGGAGGAAGAGAGAGGCGGAGCGAGGAGGAGGGAGGAAGAGAGAGGAGGCGGGAGGAGAGAGGAGGGAGGAGGGAGGAGGAGGAGGAACGAGGTGAATGGGGAGGGAGGAGGAGGAGGAGGAGGAGGAGGAGGAGCAGGAGGAGCAGGAGGAGGAGGAGGCGGCGGAGGAGGAGCAGGGTGGCAGCATCTCGAAGGATTACCGTGCCCTCAGTGCCTAGGAGGAGGAGGCACGTGGCAGGAGGCATGATGGAGGAGGAAAAACAGAGGAGGGAGGAGGGAGGAGGGAGGCAGGAGGAAGAGGAGGAACAGCTTATCATAGCTGGCACGTTTGTCATCGATCCAGTTTCTTCCTTTACAGCTAAGGCGCTCGCCTTAGAGGAGGCGGCGCGGGCTGTGGAGGAACTCACCCTTAAGATAAGAAACCGGCCATCAGGAGCATGTTTCTCTAGAAGCGCGCTCCAGTGACCTGATCTAGGCCCGGCGAAAGGAAGAAAAAGAGGAGGAACGGTAGGAGAAACAGAGGGCGAATAGCAGAGGAGGAGGAAGAGGAGGAGGAGGACCAGTGCAAGCCTAAGACGTATCAGCGATGTTGCAACAAGCCCATCCGAGTTCCCACTTCGTAGATCCCTTCACAAATGCATGTTCAATGCTGGACTTCCCCCGATGGAAGATAACATTCGGATGATCTTCGATCGTGCCAAAACACCACTCCTTGGATTTCAACGCCGTGAAACAATTTTACTGCTGCACCCTGCTAACCCTGAGTCGCACCAGAACACCATTCCTGGGAGTTCAACACCTTGAATCAACGCGACTGCTGCGCCTGGACAGTCTTAGACCGTGCCGAAACACAGTTCTTGGGACGCCAGCCATAAGAGCCCGCTAAAAAGTTGACAAATGTGAGACGATCGTGCGCGGCATGAAGCCTGGCATCGCTCGGACGTGTGCATTTTTCCTTCGGCGAGGACCATCGAGGAGCATCTTTGATCATTTGGCGAAAAAACCACGCACGAAACCGAAAAAAACACAGGAAATGGACGTCCGAGCGATGGCCAGTGAAGGCGAAAGCCACAGCGTGAAAAAAGAGACGCCCTCCACCCGTGGACGGCTGAAAAAGGTCTGAGAATGATGCGTGCGGAGCTGCGGAGGCAGAGAAACGCCCATATGCAAACTGTTCGGACGGATGCGCGCGGCGTTCGGGCGAGAGCCACTTCTTCAAGACCACCCTCCCGCCACCCGTGAAACTGCTGCAGCTTTCCAGACGAGCGCGTGCGGCGCCAAGGCGAGAGCCACGCCCCCCCCTTCGCGAAACCGTTTTGCAAAGAATGGAAAGAGTGTGCGCGACGTTCAGTTGAGAGCCATATGTTGAAAACATCCCGCTCCATCCGTGAAATTGTTGCACACGTTTAAGACTAATGTTCGCGGCGTTGAGGCGAGAGCCAAATTTTGAAAACCACGTGCCCTCCATCCGTGAAAGTTCTGTAAGCTTTTAAGACGAATGTGCGTTGCGCTAGGGCGAGAGCCACAATTAAAAAACGGCCCGTGGGCCATCCGCAAAGTGCTCCATAGCTTAAGCTCCAGGATGATAAATGCGGTGGAAGTCTCAGACGAAACGCCCGGCCCGCCCTACCGACAGGGAGGAGCTAATTATTTAGAAGGAAAGGGATGGGACAGGGAGGAGGGAGGAGGGAGGACGAGGAGGAGGAGGAGGAAGAGGATGAGGCGGAGGAGGAAGAAGAGGAGGAGGAGGAGGGAGGACCAGGACCACGACCAGGACCAGGAGGGAGGAGGGAGGAGGGAAGGAGGAGGGAGGAGGAGGGAGGAGGAGGAGGAGGAGGAGGAGGAGGAGGAGGAGGAGGATAGGGAAAGGGACAGGGAGAGGGAGAGGTTGAGGAGAGGTAGAGGAGAGGGAGAAGAGGAGGAGGAGGAGGAGGAGGAGCAGGAGGAGCAGCAGCAGCAGCAGAGGAGGGAGGAGGAGGGGGAGGGGGAGGGGGAGGGGGGAGGGGGAGGGGGAGGAGGGAGGAGGGAGGGAGGAGGGAGGAGGAGGAGGGAGGAGGGGAGGAGGGAGGAGGGAGGAGGGAGAGGGAGGAGGGAGGAGGGCGGAGGGCGGAGGGAGGAGGGAGGAGGGAGGAGGGAGGAGGGAGGAGGGGGAGGGAGGAGGAGGAGGGAGGAGGGAGGAGGAGGAAGAGAGGAAGAAGAGGAAAGAGGAACAAGAGGAACAAGAGGAACAAGAAGAGGAAGACGAGGAAGAAGAAAAAGAAGAAGGAGGGGAGGAGGAGGAGGAGGCGGAGGAAGAGAGGAGGAGGAGGAGGAGGAGGAGGAGACGGAGGAGGAGGAGGAGGAGGAAGAGGAGGAGAGGAGGAGGAGGAGGAGGAGGAGAAAGGAGGAGGGAGGAGGGAGCAGGAGGGAGGAGGAGGAGCCAACCCCTTGCCGCCCCGCCCGTTTCTCGGCCCGCCTCCAGCTGTGGGGAGGCGCGGCGACCCTAAGCTGGCCGCCGCCATGGCGCGCAATGACGCCAAGCTGCGCGCCAGGGACCGCCCCGCCAGCCGCCCACATCAATCGGGGAAACGTGAGACTCGAGTGAAGCCAGAACTCGGGTTTGCCGAAGTGTTTTAAAGAGCGCGTCCTGGATGTTGACACCTTGGTGTTCGTGCGGGAGCCCGCGTCATATTTCAGATTGGGCATCGTCATTTTTATGATGGCCCCCGTCAGGCCACTCCGAGTCCCCCGTACCCGAGTCTCACGTCTTCCCGATCAACATTCCCGAAGGCGACCTCAGAAATGTGAGAGAAGGAAGCGCTGACACCGAAGCCTTTTTCCCTCATTCCCACGGCTGGATTCGCGTCGAGAGCCGCGGGTCAGCACGCACCCCTGGGGAGAGGACCAGGCAGACCGATATCGTTATATTGGTGGCCCCGTGAGGTGGGGTTTGGAGGATCGAGCCGCACCGCCGATGCTTCGGCGATGCGCTCGATTTGGAGCTTGGTGTAGCCTGCGACGTTGGCGATGCATCGCCGACGTCGCAGAGGCACCGCCGATGAATCGGCGATGCATCGGCGATGCGGCGCGATCCCCCAACCCTATCTTCTCGGACCAAGGCCTCCAGTCTCACCCGCCGCCGCTGGCGTCCTCGCCCCCACCCTCGTCGATGTGCCTGTTGTTTGGGCGTATTCACGGAGGGAGGCCCAGGATGAGGATAAATCGCTCGAGGGCCTCCTGGAACACTCAGAGCGTTCTGGAGCACTTTGGAAACGGCCGCGGCGCCCAACACGTGCTCCAGAATTGCTGGCTATCAGAGATGTCCGATCGATCCTCATCCGGGTTTGTCTTTACTTTGCAGTCGTCTTACCTTGCGCACTTCTGAAGGTTCTCATCGCCACGGCTGGACTCGGCTCGGAAACGTCGTCAGGATGGACCTCGGGAGGGGGGCCATAGGCCAATTCTGGAGCGGATGTGGGTCGGGGGCAGGGTCGCCCGTGGTCGTTGCCCTCGTCTTCGGAGTCGCCGTTCGTCTCGTTTTCTTCCCGTTCTCCTCCTGCTCCCCATCTTCATCATCCCCTTATCCTCCTCCCCATCATCATCATCATCATCATCATCATCATCATCATCAGCATAAGCATAAGCATAAGCATAATCATAATCATAATCATCATCATCATCATCAGCAGCAGCAGCAGCATCATCCTCATCATCATCATCAGCATCATCATCAGTACCATCAGTAGCATCATCAGTAGCAACAGCATAATCATCATCATCAGCATCATCATCATCATCAGCAGCAGCATCATCATCACCATCACCATCATCATCAGCATCATCATCGTCATCGTCATCGTCATCGTCATCGTCATCAGCATCTTCATCATCATCCTCATCATCAGCAGTATCATAATCGTCGTCGTCGTCGCCATCATCATCGTCATCATCGACATCATCATCAGCAGCAGCATCATCATCGTCATCATCATCGTTGTCAGCAGCATAATCTGTATTACCATCATTATCAGCATCATCACCACCATCATCATCAGCATCATCATCACCAGCACCATCACCATCGTCATCATCAGCATCATCATCATCAGAATCATCAGCATCGTCACAATCGTCATGCTCGCCATCAGTAGCATTGCCAGCACCCCCATCATTACCACCATCATCATAGTCAGCACCAGCAGCATTATCAGTATCAGTATCGTTAGTATCAGCATCCTCACCATCACCATCACATCAGCCCCAACCATCAGAATCATCATCAGCAGCATAAGTAGCATCAGCATCATCATCATCATCAGCATCATCATCATCGTCATCATCGTCCTCACCATCGTCATCGGTATCGGTACCAGTATGATTATCAATATAATCGTCTTCATAATCGTCATCATCAGTATCAGTAGCAGTACCGTCACTAGTACCAGCGTAAGCATAATCATCAGCAGCAGCAGCAGCTTCAGCATCATCGTCATCAGAATCATCATAAGCATCATAATCCGCATCGTCAGTATCATCGCCAGTATCACTGTCAGTATCGGTATCGTCAGCATCTGCATGTCATCATCATCATCATCATCAGCAGCAGCATCATCATTAGTATCATTACCACTTACCAGTGCCATTATCTCTATTAGCATCATCATCATCATCATCATCATCATCATCATTAGCATCATCGTCTGCGTCAGCATCCGCATCAGCAGCATCATCAGCATCAGCAGTAGCATTGGCATTAGCATTCGCAGTGTCATGGTCAGCATCATCACCATCAACACCGTCAGCATCACCAGTAGCATCGTCATCATCATCAGCACCATCACCATCATCAAAATGATCATCATTAGCATCCGCTCTCCTCCGTCGCCTCTTCTTCCTCCTCCTCCTCCTTCACCGCCTCCACATCATCACCATCACCATCATCATTAGCAGCATTATCATCAGCAGCAGCAGCAGCAGTAGCATCATACAATATCTTCTCGTATCCCCCACATCCTCCCCCACATCATCACATCTCCTCTCTCATCTCTTCTCCCCCCTATCTCCTCCTCGATCGCTTGCTCCTGCTCATGTTCCTCCTCCTCCACCTCCGATGTCCCTCCTTCTCCTCCTTCATCTGCCCCCGTCCCCCGCATGTCTCCAGCGCGCGGGGAGGGGTAGGAGATGGGAGGAAGGAGGAGGACCAGTGCAAACTCAAGAGTCATCAACGATGTAGGAATAAACCCTCCACCCTCCCCCCAAGCTCCCTTGTCATAGGCCCTACAAGGATGCAGCTCCATTGAGGGAAGGACCACGTTGGGTGACAATAGTTTCAAGATCGTGCCAACACACCATTCCCGGAACTTCAACGCCGCTAGTCAGTTTGCTTGTTGCGCATTGACAACCCTGAATCGTGCCAGAACGCCATTCCTGGGACTTCAACACCGCGAATCAACGTAAGTGCTGCGCTCTAACAATCGCGAATCGTTTCAAAAGACCATTTCTGGTACGCGAACCATTGGTTTCCGTGAAAGTCTTGCAACGTTTTCAGGCGAATGTGCGCGGCGCGAAGGCGAGAGTCACAGTTTGAATAGGAATCGCCTTCAATCCGTGAAACGAGTGCACTTGTGTAAGACACATGTGCGCGGCGCTAAGGCGAGAGCCACAGCTTGAAAAAGAGGCGACCCCCACCCGTGAAACGCTTGCAAATGTCTAAGACGATTGCGCGCGGCGTTCAGGCGAGAGCCACATGTTCAAACCACACGCCCTCCATCCGTGAAACTCTTTTGGATTGTTAAGACCGATGTGTGCGGCGCTGAGGCGAGAGCCACACGTTGAAAACAGCCCGCCCTCAATCCGTGAAATTCGTGCATGTTTGTTCAGACGAACGCGCGCGGCGATAAGGAGAGAGCCACCGTTTGAGAGCCACCCGCCCTCAATGTGCGAAATTGGTGCGACAGGGTGCAGTTACTTGTAAGGAAAAGGAATGGAGGAGGAGAAGGAGGAGCAGGAGGAGGAGGAGGGATATCGGAGAAGGTGAGCAGGAGCAGGATATCGAGGAGGAGAGAGGAGAGAGGAGATGGGAGGAGGAGGAGGAGGAGGAGGAGGAGGAGGAGGAGCAAAGGGAGGAGGAGGAGGAGGAGAAGGAAAGGGCAGAGGGGGAGGGGAGTGAGTGGCAGGGGCAGGAAGACGAGGAGGAGGCCAGATCTACATATCTATGTGGCTCCTTCCCCCCTTCCTCCCTCCCGAATTTGCGCGGGCAGGTTCCCCAGCGAAGCGGGCACGTTTCGGGCTGACGATCGCACGTTCTTCCTCACCCCCTCCCTCTTCTCTCATCCCCTCCCTCACCCCCCCGCATAGTCGTCGTTCTCTTCGTCTTTCCCCCTTTCTACCGGATCATGCTGCGGTTCCTCTTCCACGCTTGCTTGATCTACTCCTGTCGTTGCGTCTCCTCCTCCTCCTCCTCTCCTCCTCCTCCTCCTCCTCATCCTCCTCCTCCTCCTCCTCTTCCGTCCTGCATCCTCGCTCCTCCTCCTCCTCCTCCTCCTCCTCCTCCTCCTCCTCCTCCTCCTCATGTCCTGCACAGGCTCTCTCTCTCTCTCTCTATCTCTATCGCTCTCTCTCTCTCTCTCTCGCCTGGCCACCGCTGCGGTCCTCGCGTTGGGCCCCGAGTTGCCGATCTCGATGTCATCCATACCTATCATGAGCAGCGCAGTGCGAAGCCTCACGCTGCTGTGATGCAAGTTCTCCCCTCCCCACCACGCCCCGTGTTTTTGCGCAGGCGGATTTGGCCAACATCAGAGTGGCGACGAGCGGCGAGCGTGAACGTGTCGCTCACTTGTTCCAAGTGATAGGCGACGGCGGGCATGTGTGGTACGTGGTGTGCTGCGTGTCTGGGCTGGGAGGGGTTCAAGGTCTGGGCTAACCTGCCGGCCTCTTGCCAGGGGCAGCCCACGCCCGCGTCGTGGAGTGCGCGACAGGGCAGCGGTGCCTCTCACCCAGCCCTTCCAACCTGCCGACACTGTTCGAGCTGGCGAGGCGGCCTAACTCGTTTGGCGTTGATTGGACTGGTCCGTGCGGTGCTGACCCAGGGGTACGATCCATTGGACGGAGCATACGCGGTGCCGACCCAAGAGCACGAGCCGCCCGCTTATTGACACAGACGCGGACAGGTTTGTTCGCGCTTTGGGTTGCGCCCAGGAGGACGAGGACGAGGAGGAGGAGGAGGAGGAGGAGGAGGAGGAGGAGGAGGAGGGGGAGGAGGAGGAGGAGGAGGGAGGAGGAGGAGGAGGAGAGGAGGAGGAGGAGGAGGAGGAGGAGAGGAGGAGGAGGAGGAGGAGGAGGAGGAGAGGGGGAGGAGGAGGAGGAGGAGGAGGAGGAGGAGGAGAGGAGGAGGAGGAGAGGAGGAGGAGGAGGAGGAGGAGGAGGAGGAGGAGAGTGAGGAGGAGGAGGAGGAGGAGGAGGAGGAGAGGAGGAGGAGGAGGAGGAGGAGGAGGAGGAGGAGGAGGAGGAGGAGGAGGAGGAGGAGGAGGAGGAGGGAGGAGGAGGAGGAGAGGGGGAGGAGCAGGAGGAGGAGGAGGAGGAGGAGGAGGAGGAAGAGGAGGAGCGAGTCGGTGCGAGGATGAGCGGGAGGGGGGAGGGGGGCCCAGCCCGCTGCGGAGAGGCCCTCCCGACGCCATCCGCCACGCGGTCCGTGAGCTTCATGCAGGGCTTCCCCGCGGAGCTGCTCGATTGCGGCTTCGAGGCGGGGTGACTCGGGGCGCCGCTGTCGCCGCCGCACGAGTCGTCGTCGTCGATCGTCGCTCGTCGCCCTCGAGGTTTCGGCAGGCTTTGGGAAGCTGTTTCGATTCCTGGCAGGTTTTCGGCACGCTTGGAGGTGTTCTGGTTTGGGCGGTGCTCTGGTTTGCAGGTCGCGGCGCCGTCGTCGTCGTTGCTCGTCCCTCGTCGCCCTCGGGGCTTCGCCTGGCTCTCAGCAGGTCTTCGCGATGTTTTCCGGGCCCGGGATCGTTCCCACCTGCTGCGCCTCGTCACGGGCCTTCGGGGAGGCCCAGGCGCGTCCCGGGCTGCCGCCGAAGGCCCGAGCTGCCGCTTGGTTGCGCACATTCGTTTTACAAATTTGCAAGAATTTCGCGGATTGAGAGCGGCTCGTTTTCAAAATGCGGTTCTAGCTTCAGCGCCGCGCACATTCGTTTTAAACACTTGGCAAGGTTTCACGGCTTTCGGGCGGGTGATTTTCAAAATGTGGCTCTCGCTTTAGCGCCGCGCACACTCGTTCTACAGATTTGCACGAGCGTCACGGATTAAAGGTGGTTCGTTTTCGAATGTTGGTTTTCGCCTTGGCGCCGCGCACATTCGTTCTGCAAGTTTGCAAGAGTTTCACGGATTGAGGGCGGGTGGTTTTCAGAATGTGGTTCTCGCTTTAGCGCCTCACACATTCGTTTTTTATTTTGGAAGCGTTTCACGGATTGAGGGCGGCTCGCTTTCAAAATGTAGTTTTCGTTTTAGCGCCGCGCCCATTCGTTCTACAAATTTGCAAGGGTTTCACGGACTTTTCAAAATGTTGTTCTCGCCTTGGCGCCGCGCACATTCGATCTGCAAATTTGCAAGAGTTTCACGGATTGATGGCGGGTGGTTTTTAGAATGTGGTTCTCGCTTCAGCGCCGCGCAGATTCGCTTTAATCATTTGGACTGGCTTCACGGATTGAGGACAGTTCTTTTTCAAAATGTGGTTCTCACCATAGCGCCGCGCACATCCGTTTGAAACAGTTGCCAAAGTGTCATTGCTTATCATGGTTAACGTGCCCAGAAGCGGGTGGTTGGAACGATTGGGAATTGCTGTGGCGCAACAGTTATTTTGATTCGCGGTGGCAGGGTCCCAGGAATGGTGTTCTGGAACGATTCAAGATCGCCCAGAACGTTGCGTTGAAGTCTTAAGAATGGTGTTTTGTCTTCGCACGTCTCAAGATGTTCACACGGTTGTCCCCCAACGGGGCATTTCTTTCAGTGGAAATTACCCCTCGCAGGGGCCTATGAAGAGGGATTTTGGAGTGAGGGTGTATTTCAACATCGTTGATGAGTCTTGGGCTTACGCTGGTCCTCCTCTTCCTCCTCCTCCTCCTCCTCCTCCTCCTCCTCCTCCTCCTCCTCCATCATCACTTCCCTGCTTCTGCCCTCCGCGTCAGCCACATTTCGGCACGCCCCTCGCACGTTTCGTGGCCCCACGGGGAGCTCCACCGGAAGCCCCAGTGGCCCAGTGGTAAAGTCCACATGCGGCTTCCTGCCAATTTAAGCACGCCCCTCACACGTTTCGTGGCCTCACAGAGAACTCCACCGAAGGCCCCAATGGAACAGTCCACATATGGTTCCCCGCCCAGTTCGGCACGCACTCACACGTTTCGTGGCCACATGGGGAGCTCCACCGAAGGCAAAAGTTCGAATGCGGTTCCCCGCCCATTTCGACACACCCCTCCCACGTTTCAAGGTCCCACAGGACGCCCCACCGAAGGCCCCAGTGGTAAAGTTCACCTGCGGTTTCCGCTCATTTCGGTACGCCCCTCACACGTTTCGTGGCCACATGGGGAGCTCCACCGAAGGCCCCAGTGGCTTGGTCCACACACGGTTCCATACCCATTCAGGCACACCCCGCACACTCCTCACACGGTTCGTGGCCCCACGGGAGCTCATGCGAAGGCGCCAGTGGCAAAGTTCGCACTCGGTTCCCCGCCAATTTCTGCGCGCCCCTCACACGTTTCGTGGTCCCATTGTGAGCTCCACCGAAGGCCCCAGATGCAGGGTTCGCGCGCGGTGCCCCGCCTATTTCGGCACGCCCCTCACACGTCTCGTGGCCCCACATGGAGCTCCTTCGAAAGCGGTACGCACAACGCGGTATTCACAATTGCATACGATTAGGTCCTTCGCCAGGATACTTGTTTCTCTGGTCCTGGTTCCGGCTCCAATCCTGAAGCAGTATCTGCCCCGTTTCTAGGAGCCGGTTTTCCCCATCTGCATGCTCCAGGGACACGTTGTTTTGAAGTTGGCAATACAGAAGCACGCCATGCTGCTTCCGGGCCCACCAAGGCTAGCCCCCAGGGGCCGTCAGAAACCGACGGGGCCGTCAGAATGCGACTCGGGCTTGAAGGTGCACCGGAGGGCGTTGCCGTCGTCGGGGTCTTCGTCGTCGTCGTCGCTCGGCGTCTCGCTGCTGCCCCCTGCCGCGGCGCCGAGAACACCCAGATCTGCACGAACGACATGGGCACGGAAAGAATGGGTACAATGCCCAACAGCGGATCCTGTTCATTTTGAACAGGACTCGCTGTCCACGCCGCCGCGGCCTGTGTACATTTGAGACAGAAGGCCGCCTGCCCAACAGCGGCCGCTGCTGGTGTGGGACAACATTTGTTGTTGGGCATTGTACCCTTTCTTTCCGTACCCGTTTCGGGCGTCCAAACCAGAAGCGCCCACAGACTTCTTGACGACGACGACGACGCCGACGACAATGCCGACGCCGACGACGACGACGACGACGACGACGGCGACGACGACGGCGACGACGACGACGACGACCGACCACAACGCTGACTCCACCGACGACGACGACGACGACGACGACGACGCCGACGCCGACGCCGACGACGACGACGACGACGCCGACGCCGACGCCGACGACGACGACGACGACGACGACGATGAAACACGGAGACGCGGCCGCACAGCGGCCGATGCAGGGAGGACCAGGGGGGATGGAGGAGGGACGGGGAAGAGGAGGTGGGAGGGGGGGCAGGAGAAGGGAGGGAGAGGAGAGGAGAAGGAGGAGGAAGAGAGGGACGAGGGAGGAAGGAGGAGGAGGAGGAGGAGGAGGAGGAGGAGGAGGAGGAGGGAGGGAGGAAGAGGAAGAGGAAGAGCAGGAGTAGGAGGAGGACGGATGAATGGAGGGAGGGAGGAGGACACAGGACGAGGAAGAGAGGAGGATGGAGGGAGGGGCAGGAGGAAGAGGATCGAGGAGGAGGAGGAAGAGGCGGAGGTGGAGGAGGGGATCAGGACCTCGCCTCCTCCCTCTATCTCCTCCTCTTCTCCCCCTCCCGTTTCATCCGACGATTTCGACCACGACTACGAGGGCGACCACGACCACCACGACCACCACGACCACCACGACGACCACGACGCCCACGACGACCACGACGGACGACGGATGACGGACGACGGACGACGACGACGACGACGACGACCACGACCACGACGACGACGACGACGACGACGACGACGACGACGACGACGACGACTTCGACGACGACGACGACGACGACGACGACGACGACGACGACGACGACTTCGACGACGACTTCGACGACGACGGACGACGACGACGACGACGACGACGACGACGACGACGACGACGACGACGACGACGACGACGACGACGACGACTTCGACGACGTCGACGACGACTTCGACGACGACGACGACGACGACGACGACGACGACGACGACGACCACGACGACGCCCGCCGACGACGTCAACGACGACGGCGTCGATGACGCAGACGACGACCTCAACGGCGGCGGCGGCGGCGGCAACGGCGCCAACGACGGCGTCGGACGACGACGGCGGCCCCCCAGGAGCTCGAGCGCCTCAGCAGGCTCGAGGGCCGCGAGGGCGACCGCGCGCGGCTGGCGGTCCGCCGCCGCGGCCCCGGCGTCGCCGCCCGCCGCCAGCCGCCGCGGCCCGGGGGGGCGACTCCCAGCGGATCGACGGGGGAACGAACGAACGAAGTGCCATACAGTGGAACCGATTAGTAGGTCGACCGTGCCAAATCGAGGTTACCCTTGTGTCCTGAGCTTCGCGACTCATAGGCCTTCTTACATTCCTAAGGCAATGTGGCCTCGGAAGGTTCTTGTGTTCTCTCGCATGTCCTCTCCAATCAACCCCGACTGTACAGTGGGTCGGGCGATCGCAAACATGTATCAAGGGGGCATGGATTAGCGACGGGTCCCGCTTCCATGGGAGATAAAGGATCTCCGCCGCCGAGCGAGGCGGCACCAGCCGCATTTTGGGAAGGGCACCTCCCCGATCCATGGATTGGGCGACCGCGCGCCAAATCCAGGGATCGCTAATTCATGTTTGCGCGCCCCCGAAATACACTGGAGGCCGATGCCAAGAAACACCTTGCTTGCTTCCAGGGTGCCCTGGGTTTCTTGGGTTTTGATGGTTTTGCGATGGAAAGCGCGACTCTCCCACGCCAAAAGTCAATGGACGTCCTGGGGTCTCTTGGTTGGGTTTCTTGTGGAAGGTCTCTTCTGGTCGAGCCCCTGCTCTGTACGCCCCGAGCGCGCGGGCAAAAGACGGGGGATCGAGGAGGAGGAGCGAGGAGGAGGAGGATCGAGGAGGAGGAGGAGGAGGAGGAGGAGGACGAGGAGGGGGAGGAGGAGGAGGAGGAGGAGGAGGAGGAGGAGGAGGGAGGAGGAGGAGGAGGAGGAGGAGGAGGAGGAGGAGGAGGACGAGGAGGGGGAGGAGGAGGAAGAGGAGGAGAAGGAGGAGGGGGGGAGGGCGACAGGGGACACCCCCCGCTCCCTCCCTGGGGCTGCACCAGGGGGAGGAGGGGGGCAAAAGGCTCGAGAGGCTCGAAGAGGGGCAGAATGCCACCCCCCCAGCCAGTAGGCTCGAAAGGCTCGAAACGCTCGGCAGAGCCGCGCTCGAAAGGCTCGAAAGGGGGCAAAAGGCCTCCCCCCCCCCTGTCCGAGGAGGCAGTCGAGTGTCACACGTTGTTGTCCCCCCCCCCCTGGACGCTGCCACGCGGCGAGTGGAGTGGCATTGCATGTTTTCCCGCCCTCGTGGCCATGCCGCGTGACGGGCAGACTGGAACAGCTTGTCGTCGCTCTCCCAGGCGCTGCCGCGTGACGAGTGGAGCTGGATGTTACGTCGTCGCCCCACTCCCGGGGGCGTTGCCGCGCGGTGCGCAGATTGGGCTCTGCCCTCGACCATTCTGACGGCACGGGGGTCCGAAAAAGGGCCCCTAAGCTGCGGAGACCGTCGACCCAAAAGTGTGCACACAAGAGGTCTGCGGATTTGTTTTCTTTGGGCGTTGGAGGCACGTGTCCTCTGCCCTCCTCCCCCTTCCTTCCTCACAAAACGTCCCCCAGACCGTTGCTGGATTGTGTTCTAACCAGAAGTTCGGGACGGATCCAGCCGTGGCGATGAGAACGCTCTCAGAGACAAGGAATTCCAGAAAAGGTCCAAAAACGAGTGATCTTATTCCTGGTCCTCCCCAGACCACCGACGTCGTGAACGTGGACCCCAGAAGTCTCGACCAATTCCCCAGACACTTGCGTTTCATCCCTCGCAGTGTTTCGACGGTTTTGAATTCGAGGCCGAAAATTGTAGTGCTTTTGTTTTGTGGGCGACGCGGAGGGGTCTGGTCAGGGGGGCAGTATCGGTTCCAGGCTTCTCCAGGCACGGAGACCCAGAAAATCAAAACAAAACAACAAAAAATCCTGACGACGGACCCAAGCATATGCAGTTGTGAGTAACGCGTTGTGGGTGTCGCTTTCCGTGGAGTTCCCTATGTGGCCACGACACGCGTGAGGGACGTGCCGTAACGGGCGGGTGTGGTCACCCCCACTGGGGCCTTGGGTGGGGCTCTCCCTATGGGACCAGGAAACGCTGTCCTGGGTGTGGCGGACGCATGTGGCCACCCCCACTGGGGGCCTTGGGTGGAGCTCCGTATGGGACCAGGAAACGCTGTCTTGGGTGTGGCGGACGCATGTGGCCACCCCCACTGGGGCCTTGGGTGGAGCTCCCTGTGGGGCCACGAAACGCTGCCCTGGGTGTGGCGGACGCATGTGGCCACCCCTATTGCGGCCGCAGGTGGAGCTTCTTGGGCCACGAAACGCTGTACTGGGTGTGGCGGACGCATGTGGCCACCCCCACTGGGGCCTGGGCCTTAGGTGGAGCTCCCCATGGGGCCACGAAACGTTGTACTGGGTGTGGCGGACGCATGTGGCCACCCCCACTGGGGCCTTAGGTGGAGCTCCCCATGGGGCCACGAAACGCTGCCCTGGGTGTGGCGGACGCATGTGGCCACCCCCACTGGGGCCGTAGGTGGAGCCCCCTTATGGGGCCACGAAGCGCTGTACTGGGTGTGGCGGACGCATGTGGCCACCCCAATTGGGGCCTTGCTTGGAGCTCCCTATGGGGCCACGAAACGTTGTATTGGGTGGGTGAAACGCAAGGAGGAAGGAGGAGGGGGAGGAGGAGGGAGGAGGGGGAGGAGGGAGGAGGAGGAGCCGCGGGGACCGTCTCTTCAAAACGAGGACCGAACACCAGAGGATGGTTGGGAAAAAAGTCATCTTCAAATTCGAACGTCAAAATAAAATACAGTCGGACCGATGTAGAAGATCGAGGCCAGCTGGGGGAGGGTACCCTAGTGTTCTTCGTGCTTACTGGATGTTCTTGTGCACCCTGCGGAGGGCACCCTTGGATGTTCTGTGTGTTTTGGCCGGCGGAGGGTCTCATGTTCTTGAGGGAGGTTCTTTTGGCCCAGGGCCGATTGCATCAAAAAGCCTCTCCCTCGATTTTCGAGCCTCGGCCTCAGCCCTTCCTCGGTCCGCCGCTTTCCGAGCCGCGGCGATGAGAATCTGCCCCAGGAGGACCGAAAAAGGCTCCGAGAGCGTCCAAAACCTCCTCCTCCTCCTCCTCCTCCTCCTCCTCCTCCTTCTCCTCCTCCTTCTCCTCCTCCTCATCCGCCTCCTCCTCCTCCTCCTCCTCCTCCTCCTCCTCCTCCTCCTCCTCCAACTCCTCCTCTAACCTCCCCTGCTCGACTCAGGGGCAACGTCAGAGGGGCACTGGCCCAGGGGGGGAAGCATCGACCCCCCGCTCGCCCAGGCATCGCCCATCGGGGCCCAGGCCCTTAAGCGAGCATCCGTCGGCAGCCACCCCCTGAGCCGCCCGCCCTACCTCTCGGCGGGCCTCGGGCTCGCGGAGACACCGGAGCTGCTCCCGAGGGGGGAGCGGATGCGGAGCCAGGGCGAGGTCACGCAGGGGGGGGGGAGGGGGAAGGAGGAGGGGGAAGGAGGAGGGAAAGGAGGAGGGGGAAGAAGGAGGGGGGAGGAGGGGGGGGAAGAAGGAGGAGGAGGAGGAGGAGGAGAAGGAGGAGGAGGAGGAGCCCAACCCCGCCCTCTGTGCTCTCCGGCCGCTGCCCCCACAGGTCCGCCGCCTGCTCAGCCCCGCGTTCGACCGCCCGCGCTGACACGGGCGCTCGCCGGCCAGCGGCGAGCAAGCGCGCGTCGTCCTACGCCGCCGAGGTGTGCCGGGAGTCCTACGTCGTCCTACGCCCCAACAATCCCCGAGAGTCCCTGGGAGTCTCGCCTGCCCGCTCTCAGCCCTCAAGCGGAACACAATATACCGACCAAGATAAGCGAATCTACGTAGACGATCATCGATTGCGGTCGAAGGGGCATCAACGACGTCAGGGTGCCATGGTGTCCGCCAGCGGCGGCGTTGGTGACGACAGGCGGCGGCGACGATGCCCCCCGACGGCGACGTCGGTGGCGGCATCGGCGTCGGCGGTGCCCGTCGTCGTTCGTCGTCGGTAACCTCCGTCGCAGTTGTCGGTTTCAGATGTTGGGCCAGCGGAGGTTTTGCGCATATTTCTATTGGCGCCATTCTTGATTGCCATATGGATTATTTGTTGTCAGTCGTGACTTTGTTTGCCTTCGTGCGTTTTGTAAAGTCACGGGCAGGCCTGGCGTGACACCATGGCACCCTGACGTCGTTGATGCCCGTTCGACCGCAATCGATGATCGTCTACGTAGGTTCGCTTATCTTGGTGTGTATATTGTGTGCTCCTCTTGTGGCTGCTGAGAGCGGGCAGGCGAGACTCCCAGGGACTCGGGGATTGTTGGGGCCCGGCTGCCGCGGTGTGCAGGGCAGGCAGGCAGAGGCGGAAGTCCGCTGGTCAAGCCCTAGCATTACAAAGTCCAGGGTTCGCTGGGGACTGGTTTCCTTTCGAAAGAGCCACAACAAACCCTATGGAAACCCTCCAGGAAGGGTTCCAGGAGGCTTTCCAAAGGGTTTCGGGAGGGTTTTGGAAGGGCTTGGGTCGTCTTGGGGGGGAAACCAGTCCCTGGCGAACCCTGGGCTCTCTGACTCCAGCAGCAGTCCCAACGTGCCAGGGCTGGGCGAAACGCTCGGCGCGACCCGCCGAGACGGTGGAGGTACGGCCCCTCCCCTCCGCCTTCGCTTGCCAGAGCCGAGACGGGAGGCGGCGCCGCCCGACTGCGACGGCGGCGACGACGACGACGACGACCCAGACGACGGCGACGAAGACTATCTTGACGACCTCGGCGACGGCGACGACGACGACGACGACGACGACGACGACGACGACGGTGACGACGACGACGACGACGGCGACGACGACGACGGCGACGACGACGAAGACGGACGACGGACCACGGACAACGGACGACGACGACCACGGACGACGGACGACGGTCGCTGGATGTCTCCCCAGGTCCCTGGAGGTCTCACGAGGTCCCCAGAGGTCCCTGGAGGCCCCTGCGTCGCATGCCCTTGCAGACCTAACAGAGGTGAGCAAAGTTTCGTGCAAACTTCGAGCAACTCTCTGACGACGACGACGACGACGACGACGACGACGACGACGACGAGGACGACGACGACGACGACGACGACGACGACGACGACGACGACGACGACGACGACGACACCGCACGCAGCGCGGCCGCCGGCGCGCCCCGGCGCCGCGCCACCGCCAGCGCCGGCTCCGCCGTCCTCGCCGCTGGCGACGGCGTCGTGCCCGCCCCGCCCTCGCCAGCTCGCCGCCGCCGAGGAGCGCGCGGCCCGCCGCGCCGCGCGCCGGCAGGAGAAGACCGCCGGGCGCGCCCCGCGGCCGCCCCCGCGCGCCGCGCCGCGCGCGGGGCGCCTCCATGGCCGCGGCCTCCTCGAGCTCCACTGCGCCCGCGCCCAGCTCGCCGGGGGCCGCCGCGCTGCCGGCGCAGGCCGCGGCGGCGGCGAGGGCGGCGGCGGCGGGGGCGGCGGCGCCGGCAACGGCGGAGGCAGCGGCGGCGGCGACGGCCTCTGCTCCCTGCTCGCCAGGGTCCGCCCCACCGCCTGGCGCGGGACGCCGACGGCGGCCCCCAGGACGACCACGACGACCAGGATCGCACGATCCCGGCCCACGGCGGCGGCCCCGATGACGACCACGACGACGGAGACTCAACCGATCGACGAAGACGACGATTGCCCCACGACGACCACGGCCACGTCCCAGGCTGATCCCGACGAGGCGCGGCCGACGGAAAGCGCGTCACGGCAAGAGAGCCTCCAGGGCGCCACTGCAGTTTCGACATGTTTCGAAAGTCGACCACGACGATTCCAGCTACGGCACGCAGGAGGCAGCTATGCAGCGCCAGGCCAGCGCCGTCTTGCGCCCCGGCGTGGTGTATACGCCCTCCTGGCCGAGGTCAGGAGCCTCTGTGCACCCTCCTGGGCTCCGTCCAGGATGGCCCTGGCCAGGCATGGTGATGGTGTCTAAAGCAGGTCCGTGCGGTGCCGATGCGGCGGCGACCCCAGCGTGGGCCGTCAAGGTTGAACGCCGCCAGCGGCTTGTACAACGCCAGTCGTTGAAAGTAGGTGTTTGTAGATGTCCAGATTCCAACCTACTTTGGGCGCCTTCCTACCTCAAGAGTGTAGCGCTTTCCCCTCCTCCCTCCTTTTCAGGGGGTGGGTGGGGACCCAATCTTTACCCACTTCTTCCGACCGACGGGCACTCGGCCCTCATCGAACGATCCGCGCCGTCGGCACGGCGCGATCGCTCCGGGCCGCAAGAAAGCCGCGCGGAGGGCGGGCAGCCGACGCGCAGGTCGTCACGCGAGCGGCGCAACAAAACGGGGTCGTCTGCGCCGACGTTGGCGCGTGAGCTGCCTGCGTAAGCTCGCGCGTTGCGCGCCCTCTGCTCCAGAGCAGCATCCCGCGCTGGCGGCCCGCGCAAGCCACCGCGCGCGCTCGCTACCAGGGGAACACAAAGTGGCACAAACATAAGAACTCGGAGGTCCGCGCGGATTCCTCGGATCGGCGCTGGACCCCCCTCCCTGGCGCGCGGAGCGCGCCAGGGGCGGCGCCGGAGGCGCCGCCGGGGGGCCCCCAGGGCCGATCCGAGAAATCCGCGCGGACCTCCGAGTTGTTATGCTCATGTCACTTCTGGTTCCCCTCCTCCCGCGCTGGCGGCCCGCGTAAGTCAGGAGGGAAAAAAACACACAGACACAATGAATCGTCGATTCCCCAGAAAATATGGGAAAATACGGGAAGTGGGGGGGAAAGCAGGAACCCAGAAAATATGGGAAAAGATGGGGAATCTTCTTATTTGTGCGTATTTATTTGTGTGTCCCAGGGCCCCTTCAGTAAGCCACCGCGCAAGCTCGCTGTGTCACCTCTGCGCCGCCTCGCGCGCGGGGCACGGACCCGCCGCAGAGGCCGGCGCCTCTGCTGCACCCTCGGCGCCCCGCGGCGGCCCCCCGCGGCCCGCAGAGGCGCCCGCGGCGGGCGAGGGCCGTCCGGAGCCGCCGCTCGTCGCCGGCTGCCAGGTCTTCGTGCGGGAGGCGCGCGGCCCGGCCGGGGAGGTCTCGGGGCGGACCGCGGCGGCGTCGCCGACCCCGCCAGCGCCTGACAGAGCGGGGCAGTCGCCGCCTCCTCGTCGTCCTTTTCCTCGTCGTCGTCCTCCTCCTCCTCCTTCTCCTCCTCCTCCTCCTCCTCCTCCTCCTCCTCCTCCTCCTCCTCCTCCCCCTCCTCCTCCCACTCCTCCCAGCCCGGGCCCTGCGACCCCAGAGTTCAGGCGGGCGTGTCCCTCCAATTGCAGGAGGAGCACGCAGAAACAGTCGAAAGATGGTCTGGGGGCGAGGTTTCGACTCTTGCTGGCCGTTGCTGCATACGTTTTGGCTTTTTGGGGGGAATTTGTCCTCCAGCATCCCGCCTGTAGGAGTACACGCCCGACCTAAACCCAGAGATCCGACGCCCCGAACAACGTGGAGCGGCCAGCTTTTTTTGCCGTTTTCGGCCCCTGGGGGGCCCTCGCCAGGCCTCGGGGCCGTCAGAAGAGGACTCGGGACGAAAAGCTGGCCCTGGGAAAGGGGGTCCAGACCCCCGGGGCCCACGCATCGAAAGAGAGGGAGCAGCCGGATGTCTGGGGGCCTCCAGCGCTTTGACGCCCGAGGTCAGAGCCGTGTCACGCCTGCGCTTTCTGGGGGCCGCCTCCTCGGCTGGATCCACCTCAAGATTCTGGTCGGAGCGCACCCCCAGAGAGGTCCAGGGTTCTAGGCCTCCTAGATGGGATCGGAGTGGATGGGGTCGGAGGATCGCGCCGCATCGCCGATGCATCGGCGATGCGGCTCGATGTGGAGCCCGCCTTGCTCCACGTCGACGTCGCCGATGCACCGCCGATGCCGACGTTGCATCGCCAGTGCATCGCCGATGCATCGCCGATGCATCGCCGATACATCGCCGATGCATCGGCGAAGCGGCGCGATCCACCGACCCCATCTACCCCGACCCCATCTAGGAGGCCTCTAAGGGTCCAGGGGCCGACGGGTGAACCCTAGGCCCGGATCCCACCACGTCGTGAGCAAAAATCGTGGCGGGCGGTGTTCCGCAGCTGTTCCAGAGGAAGCACGCAGACACAAAAATGTGGGAAAATATGGGAAGTGGGGGGGAAGACGAAACTCCATAAAATACAGAAAGATATAGGGGAACCTTCGGATTGGTGTGTGTTTATGTGTGTGTGTGTGTGTGTCCCTGGGCCCCTGGAGTTGTCGGCCCCCTGGGGGCGCTGGCCGGGCCCCCGGAGCGTCGAACAGTTACTCGGGATGGAGCGCCGGTGCTTGGGAGAGGGTCGGAGGTTCCAGGGGACCACACGGATGACAACAACGCGCTGGCATCGGATCTCTGAGGACCCGACGTGGTAGAAGTATGCAAGGGCGCGAAAGACCACGACAGGCACCTGCGTTCGGCGGCATTACTCGAGCTGGATCGCTCCAGAGCGCTCTCACAGCATTCCCGAGCGTTCTGGGAACGACTGCGGCGCCCGTTTGCGTCCTCCAGACCCGCCAGGTTTCAGAGATTTGCGTTTGAGAAAAAATGAAAAGCGCATGTATCAGCACAAACATATGAGGTCCACGCGGATTTCTTGGATCGGCGTTGGACCCCCGCCCTGGGGCGGCGCTGGAGGCGCCACCAGGGGTCTCCAGCGCCGACCCAGGAAACCCGCGCGGTCCGTCAAATGCTGCTGTTTGCGTAATTCTGAGCTCGCCTGTCATCCTCATCCTGGCTTCGTCGCAGCGGACGCCGAAGCCGCCTCCGCTTGTGCTCACCCGCGCCGCAGCCGCCCCGCTTGAGATGAGCTCCGCTGCGCCGGGCCAACGGTTCGCCGAGGCTGGCGGGCCTGCGAAGGCCGCCACGCCTGCGTCTGCGTCGTCGTTGTTGGGCTTGACGCTCCTGGAGGCTCGACGTCACCACGGCGGGGCGCAGCTCGAGGAGGCAGCCAGGACGGGCCCCGGCCTTGGGGAGAGCTGCCCCGCGTGGAGGTGCTGGGGTGGACGACGGGTCGAGCACGGGTGTTCGAGGGTCGGGGTCGTGAGGCGTTCGGGGCGTTTCCTGGGCCTCGTCGCCACGGCTGGATCCGCGTCGAAGTTTTGCTCCGACCTCGAGGCCCGAAAGTCAGACCTCCGATATTCGTATTAAACGAACATGAACAAAAGTTTCTCGCTAATTCGGGCCTCTGGGGAGCGTTTTCGGGCTCGGGGAGCATTGGACAAGATCCAAGACAGCAAAAAGTGCCCCAGGTAAATTCCAGGAAGTCTGGCCAGCCCGAGGATTTCGTTACCAAAAATCAAAAGTTCGAGGGTCTGGGAGGGGAGTGGGAAAGGGCGAGCTATGAAATCTGCACCTGTCTACGACCCCGTCGCCAGGCACATGTCTGCGATACATGGCAGCCTCCTGCGCCTCCAAGCGCCAGAAACACTAATTACTTGCGTCAAGTTGGTTCCCTAACCCCTTGGTCCCCGCTTGAGATTGTCGTCACTCGTCGTCGTCGTCAGCCTCCTGCTCCTCCTCTCCCCCTCCTCCTCAGACCACCTTGCGAATTGAAGATTTGAGATGTGCGGTGGGCCGCTTCGGGCATCCAGGGGCGCCCTCGTCGCCAGAGCTGGATTCCCATTGACGGCCAGCTGTTCCCAAGGTCCGGCCTCCGCATGCCCGTCTTGCGGGGCGGACGGAGGAAAAGGAGAAGAAGGAAAGAAAAAGGAGGAGAAGGAGGAGAAGGAGGAGACGAGAGAGGAGGAGAAGGAAAAGGAGGAGAAGAGGAGGAAAAGGGGGAAGAGGAGGAGAAGAGAGAGGGGAGCTGGAGAGAGGGCAAGAGAGAGAGGGGATGGGCGGCAGGTGAAAATCTCGCGAGGGAGGGAGGGGCACACACAGCGAACACAGGGTCCCCCTGCACCCGGGCGCCGACACCTCGCGCCCCTCGGGGCGCATGGCTCCTCCTCCTCCTCCTCCTCCTCCTCCTCCTCCTCCTCCTCCTCCTCCTCCTCCTCCTCCTCCTCCTCTACCTCCTCCTCCTCCTCCTCCTCCTCCTCCTCCTCCTCCTCCTCCAAGACGGCCCCGATCGGCGCTCCCAGGCAAGCCCGCGTGAGCGACGTCAAGCAGCGGGGTCGTCTGCGCCGACACTGGCGCGCAAGCTGCTCGCGTGAGGTCGCGCGTACGCGCCATCGCTTCCAGCGCAGCGCGCCGCGCTGGCGGCCCGCGCAAGCCGCCGCGCAAGGTCGCCATGCCATCTCGCGTAAGGCCCGTTCTTAATCGCCGCTCATGCGATCCGAACGTTTCGGGAGGTTCGGGTGGGGAGGGCCGCTGCCCGTCCCCCGTGTCGTGTCTCTTCTCGCGCTGGCTTTCGCCCGCCGTGTAGCGTCGAGGCACACGAAGATAGAGAGGCCAGGATGGAGAGGAGGCGATGGGAGGGAATGTGAGAGCGAGAGAGAGAGAGAGAGAGAGACAACAAAGAGAAGCAAACAACCTAAGAGGATCTGGAGTGCGATGGGAGAGCTCAGGATGGCGCGTATGCCATGTGGCGGGCATGTCAAGGAAAAGCGGTGAAGATAGGCATGGCATGGGCAGCAAAAGCAACGAGGAGGTGAGGGAGAAGGACGAGGAGGGAGAGGAAGTTGCTGGGGCCGCAGTGCGGGGCCATGGAGGCGTTCGAGTACCCCGAGTACCAGTTGGCAAAAGATTTGCTCGGCGTCGTGCTAAAGATCGATGGATGTGGCGACGTGTTCATCAACTGGCAGGCCTTACTTTAGCCAGTCAAGAAGGGTGAAGGTACGCGAGGGCGCTAGCAAGCATCTCCCTCCTCCTCTCTTCATGGGAGGCGGTGGACGACGAGGAGGATTTCAGGAGAGGGCTCGGGATGCTCAAGTGCGTTTGGATGGCGATCCCCCTCGAGGAGGGCGGGCGGAGAGAGGAGAAGAGACGGAAGGATTCGAGAAAGCTTCGGCAGGTTTTTGGGGCGCTCCGCGGGCCTCTCGGTGCCATCGAGGGCCACAGGCGCATGCTCCCATGGAGCCGCACGGGAGCTCACCAGGGAGGAGGAGGAGGAGGAGGAGGAGGAGGAGGAGGAGGAGGAGGAGTAGGAGGATAAGGAGGGATAGGAGGAGGAGGAGAGGAGGAGGAGGAGGAGGAGGAGAGGAGGAGGGAGGAGGCGGAGGAGAGGAGGAGGAAGAAGGAGGAGGGGAGGGGGAGTGGGGAGGGGAAGGGGAGGGGAGGGGAAGGGGGGCGGAGGAGGGGGGGAGGAGGAGGAGAGGAGGAGAGGAGGAGGAGGAGGAGGAGGAGGAGGAGGAAGGAGGAGGAGGAGCAGGAGGAGCAGGAGGAGCAGGAGGAGCAGGAGGAGCAGGAGGAGCAGGAGGAGCAGGAGGGGGAGGGGGAGGAGGAGGGGGAGGAGGAAAAGAGGGCGGCGTTTGCATTTGGTGCCTCTGTCGGCCACACGCAGAGTGGAGGGGGGAAGGCTCCTTAGAAGCAGCCCTGCTTCTTAAGAGGCGCTGGCCTCGTCTGCAGATGTATGGACGGCGCCTTCTGAGAAGCGGCCTCCTTGTAAGAATCTCTCCCCCCTCCCCCTACCCCCTTGTGCGCGCCGCTACTTCACTCTGGCGAGCGTGGGTACAGAATGATGCCCCTGAGCCCCGGTGCCAATAGTGGCCCGATGCCCTCCGTTGGGCCGACTTATCATCCTTGGGCAGTTGCTGAATGGCCGCGGGGCCCGGGAGCAGTTTTCGGAGGCAACCACCGAGTTGGCGTCCAGAGGCCCAGCCCCCGTCCATGCAGCAACGCTCGACGACGTGCCGTGCACCAAACCTCGCAGGGTTGACCATTTCCCAAAGCCGTGCTTCGGTGCGGATCCGAAGCCCCTCGTCTCTGTCGTCGTCGGCGTCGTCGTGGCCGTGGGGCTCGTTTCCTTTGTGCAGTGACCACTACCACCACAACCCCGATGAGCTCACGTAGGAGTTCGCCTGACCACGTGTCGGAGCTGGGGCTGCGGTCGGGTTCGCCTTGCCCCCGCGAGGGCCCGAAGCATGCCATCCAGGGAGGCTTTCAGTGGAGCCACCTGGGGCATCCTAGCACATAGTGTGGTATCTACAGACCCACAGAGACCCACCCTTGGCTGTAGCTACCTTCGATGGTCCTGGAGGTGGTCGACAAAAAGTGGGTGCTCAAGGGGCTCCAGCTAGTCCCAAATTGATGTGTCCGCTGACGCGTAAAAATTACCTTTCGCCAGACTGACCTTCGGTGCGGGCTCACATGGGCCCACCGGGATCTGGCCTGCGCACTTGGATTCGGGCCTCCTTGCGGCCCTTTCGGAGTCGTGTGGCAGAAGTCGCTTCTGGTTAGCACCGTCGGTGCCCTCCTCTCCAAGGGCTTGGTTCTGCATGCGGGCTCTCCGTTTGCAGGTTGGCCGACTCGTCGTCGCGGGCTTGCTCTTTGGGGCTGCGGCGCGCGCACGCGTTTGGGTGAAACGGCGTGGCGCGGCGGAGAAGCCTAGGGCCATCCTCGCTCGCAGCCAACCGAGGTAGTCGGCAAGAAGTGGGTGCTCAAGAGGGACCTGTTCCGCATCGGAGTGAAGCAGGCCCGCCCGTGCGGAGGAGGGCGCGCCGCGGCCCGCGCGGCCAGACGCTCCGCGCCTGCGAGAGGGGGGGGCCGGTTCCAGGAGATTGGCGTTGACCCGGGGTCAGCGCGTCCTCCTCCTTCTCCTCCTCCTCCTCCTCCTCCTCCTCCTCCTCCTCCTGCTCCTCCTCCTCCTCATCCTCCTCCTCCTCCTGAAATCTTGAAGGCAAGAAGTTTGTCAGACGTTGCCCTATACCCCCCACCCAGGGCCAGTCGGCCCTGGGGGTGTGATCAAGTTGATAGTTTGGCGAATGTGATCGTTTGTGACGCAGGAAGGTAGAGGTAAAAGACGTAAAAGACAGCAGAACGCGAAGAGAGAAGGAGGAGAGGAGGGACCTCCTCCTCCTCCTCCCCCTCCTCCTCCTCCTCCTCCTCCTCCTCCTCCTCCTCCTCCTCCTCCTCCCCCTCCTCCGCCGCCGCCGCCGCTGCCGCCTCCGCCGACGGCTCCGCCTCCTCCTCCTCCCTCTGCAGCGCCGCGGCCTTGCGCGATCCCCTCGGCCTGGGTCGGGGGCTGCCGCCCGCAGGCCGCGGGGGCGTCTAGTAAAGCCAGTGCTTGGAGATGCTGGTGGCTCGCCGCGAAGGACGGAGCGGGGCCTGAGGCGAACGGGGTCCTGAGGCGTTTCGCCGTTGTCGTGCTGTCGCCCCCCCCGCCCGGCTCCGGGGCTGTCAAGCTACGGCTGCGGCCGAGGAGCTGGTCCCAGGGGGAGCTTCGGGCTCCAGGACTTGCTTCCGCCAGGATTCGCTTCACTCGTGCCAGATGGTCGCTTCTGGTTCAGAGCGCGCTCTGGGACACGATCGGACCGAGGTGTAAGCTCGAGGTCGGCTCGGGGAGGGTACCCCAGCGCTCTTCGTGTTTGTTGGGTGTTCTTGTGCATCCTGGGGCAGGATGCCCTCGGGTGTCGTACAGCTTGGCCAGCGGAGGGTACCATGTGTCCTGAGGGACGTTATTCTGCCCCAGGTCCGGCCGTAGGTCTTTGAGCCGATCTCTCTCTCTCTCTCTTTCTGGGGGGGAGGCCGACGACGACGTGGATGGGGGAGGGGAGGGTTATCCCCTGTCAACCCGTGGAAGAAGGACGCACGACAAGGGTGCAGGGGCCTTGGGAGGCCATGTCCACACTTGGCGGGTGGGGCGCGGCCAGCGAAGGTGGCCAGGGATGGGCCGAGGGGCTAGGATACAAGAGCAAGCTTGAAAAGTTGCTCATCCTTGCTTTGCGGGTTGACTGTATGCTTTTGCGCGTAGTTTTGGTGGCCTCTGGTGGGCCACCTGGGGCGCCTTGCGGACACGGCTGGCTCGCCTTCGGTTTTCTGTGCTGGCGGGAGCGCATCCCTAGACAGGTCCGGGTGGATTCGTTGGAGGGGAGATGGAGAAAGGGGAGTGTTTGGCGGGGGATGCGGAGGAGGAAGAGGAGGAGGGTGAGGAGGAGGAGGAAGAAGAGGAGGTGGGCGGAGAGACAGAGGGGGAGGAGGAGGAGGAGGAGGAGGAGGAGGAAGAAAAAAATAAGGAGAAGGAGGAGGACCAATGTAAACCCAAGACGCCTCAACTAAATTGCAACAAAGCCTCTCTCCAAGTTCCCTCTTCATGGGCCCCTACAAGCGTTCACGCTCACTGAAGGAAGTGCCCCGTCGGAAAGCAACGATGTGCAATTCCTGAACTGTGCCAGAAAAACATTCCTGGCACTTCGTAGTGTCATGTTGTCCCGTGGCTGGCCGGGGCGTGCGGGGCAGTGCACGCGCGCCCATCGTGGACGTTGTGGTAGTTTTTCCCCCCCCCCCCCTCCCATTGCTCCCCCCTCTCCCATTCCTCCTCGCCCTCTTGTCCATTCCAGGTTCTTTGTTCTTGCTGGCCAGGACTTGTCCTTGTTAACTTCTAGGCTAGTGTGCTTAGTCTCTGCGTACCGCCGCTGGTCGCGCATTCGGGCCTCGGGCCAGTCGGCTTTGGGCCGATTCAATACAATGGGAAATTCGTATATGCTATTTGCTGTTCTCTCCCTCATTCTCTCTTCCTTCGTCATCCTCCTCCTCCTCCGCCGCATCCGCCCTCGCCTCCGCCTCCGCCTCCCCCCCTCCTTTTTACAGTACTCATTGGGGTGTTAAGTTTACGTGGTCGTTCACGGATCTTGGGTCCATGCAGCTGTATCGCTATGCAGTTTTGCCAGTGTCCCGATGCCCCGGTTGCGCGCAACGGCTCGCCTAGGGCAGGGTGATGTGCGCAGCTGCAGGTGTTTTGAATTGTTTTTTCCGCCTCTCTCCTCCACCTCCTCCTCCTCCTCCTCCTCCTCCTCCTTCCTCCCCTCCTCCTCCTCCTCCTCCTCCTCCTCCTCCTCCTCCTCCTCCTCCTTCCCCTCCTCCTCCCTCCTCCTCCTCCTCCTCCTCCTCCTCCTCTCCTCCTCCTCCTCCTCCTCCTCCTCCTCCTCCTCCTCCCTCCTCCTCTCCTCCTCTCCTCCTCACTCCTCCTACTCTCCTCCTCCTCCTCCTCCTCCCCTCCTCCTCCTCCTCCTCCTCCTCCCTCCTCCTCCTCCTCCTCCCTCCTCCATACTCCTCCTCCTCCTCCTCCTGCTCCTCCTCCTCCTCCTCCCTCCTCCTCCTCCTCCTCCTCCTCCTCCTCCTCCTCCTCCTCCTCCTCCTCCTCCTCCTCCTCCTCCTCCTCCTCCTCCTCCTCCCCTCCTCCTCCTCCTCCTCCTCCTCCTCCTCCTCCTCCTCCTCCTCCTCCTCCCCTCCCTCCTCCTCCTCCTCCTCCTCCTCCTCCTCCTCCTCCTCTCCTCCTCCTCCTCCTCCTCCTCTCCTCCTCCTCCTCCTCCTCCTCCTCCTCCTCCTCCTCCTCCTCCTCCTCTCCTCCTCCTCCTCCTCCCTCCTCCTCCTCCTCCTCCTCCTCCTCCTCCTCCTCCCTCCTCTCACGGATTCGTGTTGTCAAGTTGTTGATGCAGGCCAGTTGGACGGCATCGTCGACGTTGTAGTTCGTTTCCCCGCCCTCTGTCACGCCCACGTGGCTGATCGTCTGCGTTCACAACTACCTCCTTTCCTCCCACCTTCTCTTCTTGCCTCCTCAGCCTCATCGCGATGTCTTTAGGTTCGCCTCCAGTGGATGGTTGCATCAGCATTTGGGCACCAGCAATGGAGGCATATTGTCCGTTTCCATCTTCTCCCGCCCCCCTCCCCTCCAGTACGAAAACACCATTCATATGACTTCAACGCCATGAATCACTGTTGCGCCTTGACGATCCTGAATCGCGCCAGAACACAATTACTGGAACTTCAACACCACGACTCAACGTAACTGTTGCGCCCTAGCAATCCGACATCGTGCCAAAGCACCATTTCCGGGACATCAACCATGCGAAATCTTGAAGATGTTGTGTAGTCTTCAAACGAATGTGCGCGTCGCTAAGGCGAGTGCCACATGTTGAAAAAGGAACCGCTCGCCATCCGCGAAATTCTTGCAATTTGTTTAAGACGAGCATGCGCAGTGCCAAGGCGAGAGCCACATTTTGAAAACGTCTTGCCATCCACCCGCGGAACTCGTTGCATGTGTTTAACAGTGTGCGCGACGCTAAGGCGAGAACCACATGTTGAAAACGACCTGCCATCCATCCGTGAAACTCTTGCAATGTTTCACAGAGGATGTGCGCGGCGCTAAGGCGAGAGCCGCATGTTGAAAACCATCCGCCCTTCATCCGTGAAACTGTGGCAAATTCTGATCTCAAGGATCACAATTTTTGAGGACGTCTCAGGCGAAACGCCCGGCCTGCCCTTACGACCGGCCTCGAGGTGCGACAGGAGCAATTATTCATAAGGAAAAGGATTGGAGGTAGGCGGAGAGGTGGACGTGGAGGCAGCGAATCGGAATGAACAGGAGGTTGAGGAGGAGGAAGAGGAGGATTATGGTGATGGTGAGGATGAGGAGGAGGCTGGGGATGAGCATGAGCATGAGCATGAGCATGCGCATGCGCATGAGAATGAGCATGAGAATGAGCATGAGCATGAGGATGAGCATGAAGATGAGGATTAGGAAGGGATGAGGAAGGGATGCGCAAGGGATGAGGAAGGGATGAGGATGGGGATGGGGATGGTGGTGGTGATGGTAATGGTGAGGGTGGTGTGATGATGATGATGATGATGATGATGGTGGTGGTGATGATAATAATAATGATGAGGATGAGGATGAGGAGGATGAGGAGGATGAGGATGAGGATGATGAGGATGATCATGATCATGATCATGATCATGATGGAGTGTGGTGGTGGTGGAGAATGTGGTGGTGGAGAATGTGGAGAGGGGGAGGAGGAGGAGAAGCAGCTGCAGGAGGAGGAGGAGGAGGAGGAGGAGAGCTCAGCATCCAGCCGCGCACCTCGACGCGATCGGAAGAGGTGTGTGGCCGCACCGCTCCGCGTCGGTGCTGCTGCGCGGCCGGCGGTCTCGAGTATACTCTGAGCAGGGCCCGAGCAGCAGGGCACCGAGGGCCCGCCCTGGGCCTCTCCAGTGAAGGCATGTGCTGCCGGAGTCCCCCACATGGAGATTTCGGTCGCAGACTCGGGGGGGGGGCAAAAGGCAGCAGGGAAAGGGACGACCCAGAACATTGCGCCACATGCCCTTTTTCATCGGGGGACGGAGGGCGAAAGGCAGCAGGGAAATGGACGACCCAGAGCATTGCGCCACGTGCCCGGGCCGCACCGAGCCCCATCCTTTTTTCAATAAGCCAGTGTTGCAGGACAGGAGATGCTGATTCGATCGGTCCGATTCGAGGTTTACTTCGGCCGGCCCAGTCCGATCCGCTTCCGAAGCTCTGGCGATCGTTCTGCGAAGCGGTGCTTGCAAGGCAGTGTCGTGCATCTTGGCGCGGCCGATCCGATCCGATTCCGATTCCGTGCCGATGTAGGCCGATCCGACACACATTTGGATTCGGCAAGATTTCCCGATTCGAAGTTGAGTGGTTTCTTTGACCAGGGAGTGTAGGAGCATGCAGTGGAACAGCCGCCCAAGAGGATCGGTGGAAAACCGAGTCTATCCAGAAATGGTGCCCAGGCGTGTTGCCGTTATCAAAGGAGTGCCTGAGCACACAGCAGAACAGCCGCATCGGAAGCGTGGCGGAGACGCTCAAAAAGACGGGAACATATGTTGAAACATGTAACACATGTTTCCATGCTGCGGCGGTTATATTGGACAGCATTGGTGTTTCGTTCTTGCCATCCTTGCGTCTGTGGATAGTTTCATTTAGGAATTTCTCAGACGACTCGTGGGGCCACCTTGGGTTCTTCGTGGGGCCCTCTTGGCCTCCTCTGTGGGCCTTTTTGCGGCTGAGTGGCCGCTAGACTTGGAAAGAGAAGGTGGGAGGAGGAGGAAACGGAGGAGGCGCAGGAGGAAGGGGGAGGGAAAAGGAGAAGGACGACGAGGGCGAAGAGGTGAGGGAAGAGGTGGAAAACGAAGAGGATTGGAGCAAGGAGGATGCGACGACGACGATGGCGACAACGAGTCAACCAGAAAGACACTCGCAGATCTTTCGCTCCGCAAGCCTCTCGGAGGCCTGTAGCCATCGTGGCGCCATTTTGGAGGCTTTGTGGGCCGTATTGGGGTCTCTTGGGGTCCTCTTGGGGCTCTCTTGGCTCACCCTGGGGCAACATTGAGGCATCGAAAGCCAATCGGAAGCGAAAAGGCGAGAAGGAACAAAGCATTGATTGTCTTTTGATGTTGGAAGGATGTTGGCCTCTCAGGGGCGTCCGTTCGAGGTTCCGTGGCCAATTGAAGCCGTCTTGGGAAGATTGTGTGACCTTTTCGGAACATGGTGAAAACATCTTGAGGTATGTTGAGCCATCTTGGATGCAAGCTTGGGCTCTTTGAGATCCCCTTGGCGCCATCATGAGCCATCTTGGACGCTCTAACCCCTGACGACCGCCCCCCATCCAGACCCAGGGGAGGAACCTTGATTTTCCTCAGGTTCTCCCAGATTTGGAACCTGAAACATATATGTTCTTCTGGTTGTGTAAAGCTTTGGGTGCTCCCAGAGGCTCCCAGAGACGATGTTTGAAGACCCTTCGAGCGGAATGATAGGTCAGAAAATCGTCCGCGGATCCTTGATCCCCCAGATCAGGTGTCAGGAGGTACAATTCAGGATCTTTTTACCTCTCGCGCTGGGGTTAAGTTTCACGCCGACAGTGGCCCCAGCGGGGCGGTCAGACTGAACGCCTAGTAGCCCAGAATCGGCCTGCATCGATCGATCTTGCTCGATCGGAAACGGAAAGCCGCGATCGTTCCAGGTTGAACGATCCACGCGGTGCCAGAATTCTTCACACGAGCCGTCACGGCACAAGCCCGCCGTGTTCTCGAGCTTCGATCTTCCAGCCGTGCGACGGCATGATTTTTCCAGCCCGCGGGTGCCTGGGGCCGTTTATACCCCAGGGGCAGCTTCGTCGCCCTGGATCCACACATGATAAACCCAGAGAGCCCGACAACGGCCCCGTGGGAGGCTGGGATCGGAGGAAAAGACTCGCCAGGATTGAAAGATCACAGGGTCGGAGGTTTGGGATCCCCTCTTCTCCTCCGCGTCGTCGCCACGCCAAGCGACGCATGATTCCGGATGCACACTCGCAGGATTTGTCGCAGAGTGTGCATGCATGCAGCGTGTTTCGCGGCCGCCGGGGTTCGAATCTAGAAGTGTTTCGAGACGCCTTGAAGCAAGGCAGAACAAAATAGCGCAGTTACAGCTTGAGGGCGCTTTGGTCTCATCGTATCATCCTCTCCTCAGGATGCATTTTGAACTGACCGATCCGATTCGATGTCGGCCCTGACCAGCCCGATCCTATTCGATTCCGACATGGCGGCGATCCGATGGGGTCCGATGTTTGCAATGCGTTGTCGTGCATCTTGGCGCGACCGATCCGATTTAATTCTAGACGCTTCGCGTATCCCCACCAGCCCGTCCAGAAATGAGTCCCAGGGGAGTGGAGGTTATGAGGGAAGCGGGGGAGCATGCAGAAGAACAGAGGGCGGGGTGAGCCGCCATATACCCCAAGAGGGGGAGGATGTAGGAGGAGCCGTCGTCGTCGGAGTAGGAGGAGGAAGAGGAGGAGCAGGAGGAGGAGCAGGAGGAGGAGGAGGAGGAGGATAAAGGAGGAGGAGATGGAGGACTGCGAGGACGAGGAGGACGAGAAGGAGGAAAAGGAAAAGGAGGAGGAGGAGGAGGAGGAGGAGGAGGAGGAGGAGGAGGGGGAGGGGGAGGAGGGAGGAGGAAGAAAAAGAGGAGGAGGAGGACAATGGCGAGCTTGGGGGCCTCTTGGGCCGTCTTTGGGGCCTCTTGGCGGTCCCGGGGGCCTCTTGCGTATCTCGGGGAGCCTCTTGTGGCCTCTTGGGGGTCTCTTGGGGGCCTCTTGGAGGCCTCTTGGGGGCCTCTTGGGGCCTCTTGGGGCCCTCTTGGGGCGCTCTTGGGGCGCTCTTGGGAGCCTTCGAGGCGCTCTTGGGGCCATCTTGGATGAGATCTATCAAAAAAGGGGGGGTTGCTTATTAGCCTTGCCCCTCTAGAGTGCCTCGAGTCGCCTCTTGGGCCCCCCCAAGAGGCCAAAATCCTTCCAAAACCTAGGTAAAATCAATGTTTTGTGCTTTCTCGCCTTTTCGCTCTTGGAGCCGTCTTGGGCCGTCTTGGGAGCCTCTTGGGCCTCTTGGGGGTCTCTTGGGAGCCTTTTGGAGGCTTCTTGGGCGCCTCTTGGGGCCTCTTGGGGCGCTCTTGGGGCGCTCTTGGGGCGCTCTTGGGAGCCTTCGGGGCGCTCTTGGGGCCATCTTGGAGGAGATCGATCAAAGAAGAGGGGGTCCCCAATTAGCGTTGCCCCTCTAGAGTGCCTCGAGTCGCCTCTTGGGCCCCCCAAGAGGCCAAAATCCTTCCAAAACCTAGGTAAAATCAATGTTTTTTGCTTTCTCGCCTTTTCGCTCTTGGAGCCGTCTTGGGCCATCTTGGACTCTCTTGGGGCCTCTTGGGGGTCTCTTGGCAGCCTCTTGGAGGCTTCTTGGGGGCCTCTTGGGGTCTCTTGGGGCCCTCTTGGGGCGCTCTTGGGGCGCTCTTGGGAGCCTTCGGGGCGCTCTTGGGGCCATCTTGGAGGAGATCTATCAAAGAAGGGGGGGGCCTTAATTAGCCTCGCCCCTCTAGAGTGCCTCGGATCGCCTCTTGGGCCCCCCCAAGAGGCCAAAATCCTTCCAAAACCTAGGTAAAATCAATGTTTTTTGCTTTCTCGCCTTTTCGCTCTTGGAGCCGTCTTGGGCCATCTTGGACGTCCCAACGCGTCGCGGAACGCCCCGTCCAGGTCAGTGGGGAGGGGTAAGGGGAGGGGTAAACCCCTCCCCGAAGGGAAAGAAGGGGGGTTGGCAGAGGAAACTCTCTAGACCACCTACGCCCTAAAGGGCTGGTGGGATTCCCATTCCGTGCCGATGCAGCCAGGTCCGACGCAAAGTCCGATCCGAATCGATGTCCCGAGTCGGTGCTGATTGATTTCGCCGTCTCGGCCCAAAGCCATGCTTGATGGCCCCGAGGCCCGAAAACGGCCTCCGGTGACCAACATCAAGGATATATGCTGCAAGCGAAAATAAAAGCAAAATCAAAAACGACAAACGAACCAATAATCCACAAAAAGTATAAGGTCTTGACATCCTCCGCACTCCCCATCCGATCCGACACACGTTCCGTGTCGAGCCGATGTCCCGATTCAGTGTTGATCGATTCTTCATCTTTGCGCCGCGGCAGGCGGCGTAGCCAATGTGGCCCCACTCTTGACCATCGAAGCTTTCCGGCGGCACTCTGCCCGCACAGCGGAGCTGCCAGCACGGCGCAGCACAGTCCGACAGGAGCGTGCATCAGTTGCAGTCGGTTCCCGTCCAGTGCCCTGCGCACCTCCTGGTGTGTGACCTCTTGCCTTGCCCCTGCCTCCTCGGCGTGCCGTCCCGCGACGCCGTGACGCCCCGTGACGTCCCCGTGACGCACCGTGGCGGTGCGCCCCTGCAGCCCCTTGACGCCGTGACGCCCGTTGGCTCCTGCGCCTTCTGCTTCAGCGTCGTGCTCCGCTCTGCCTCACTCGGCGCCCCGGTCGGGCGCTCCGCTGCTCCTGCGTCGCTGTGCAGGGCCAACGCTCAGGAGGGAAAGAAACACACAGACACAATTAATCGTCGACTCCCAGGAAAATATGGGAATATATGGGAATTGGGGGGGAAGACAAAAACCCAGAAAATATGGGAAACTATGGGGAATCTTGGTAAGTTTTGTGTATTTAGATGTGTGTCTCAGGGCCCCTTCAAACGCGTCGGTCTGCCCACGCGCCGCGGGCCGCGCGGCCTCGTGGCCCCGCGAATTGCCTCCTCGGCGCGCGCAGGTCGTGCAGAGCCCCTCTGCCGCGCAGGGCCCGGAGAAGGCGGGCGCGGGGAGCCCGCGGCCGCTGCTTCCCTTACACGGCGTCGGACCGCTCGGGCAGGGCATGCGGGACAGCGTCAAGAGTACACCCATGGGATAGGGAGGAGGATATGAAGGGGAGGAGACGGAGGAGGAGGAGGAGGAGGAGGAGGAGGAGGAGGAGTTGACAGAGGCCGCGCGCTCAAAGCGTGTCTTGATACCGTCCCCACATCCAGGTCTATATGGAGCGCTTTCCTGCCAAGAATCGACAGTCTCCTCATACTTGAACCGCCTAGAGGACGTCCTCATCACCCCTGACTCATGATCATCACCGCCTCAACTGCTGTTCATCGTCGTCATCATCATCACCATCATCATCATCATCATCATCATCATCATCATTATCATTATCCTCATCCTCATCCTCATCCTCATCCTCATCCTCATCAGCAGCAGCAGCAGCAGCAGTATCAGCATCACCATCGCGATAATCATCATCAGCAGCAGCAGCATCATCATCGTCATCATCATCACCATCATCATCACCATCATCAGCATGATCATCATCAGCAGCATCAGCATCATCATCGTCATCGCCATCGCCATCATTTTTATCATCGTCGTCGTGATCAACATCATCAGCATCATCAGCAGCAGAATCATCATCGTCGGTTTTCAGAATCAAAATCAGCATCATCGTCATCATCATCAGTATCGATACCATTACCATCATCAGAATCATCATCATTAGTAGCGCCATCATCATCATCGTCAACATCATCATCAGCATCATCTTCAGCATCATCAGATCAATCATCATTATCAGCATCATCATCGTCATCATCATCGCAATCGTCATCAGCAGCAGCACCAGCACCACCACCATCGTTATCATGATCAGCAGCAGCATCAGCAGCATCATCATCAGCATCAGCATCATCATCAGCATCGTCATCATTATCATTATTGTCATCATCGTCATCATCGCCGTCGCGCGTTTTCCCCAGAGGGAGGCCTGCAGGAGACGTCTGCTACGAGCAGGGAGAGGTATCCTGCAGACCTCTTGTTCTCCAGGGAACCAACAGGCATGTCAGAGCTACCCAGCTCTAGAAGTGGCGATCAGTAAGGAGCAGCGAGGGCTGCAGAAAAGGTGACCTCTAGGGCCCCTAAAAGAACTCTTTCGGGCCCAGAAGGAGGCCTTCAGGGCCCGGAATTCCCTGGGTCTGGACGGAGGGGTGTCAGAGAGCCCTGTTTGGCGCAAGATGGCCCGCAGATGGCACCAGGAAGCCCAAGATGACCACCAAGATGGCACAAGATACGGTAGCGAACGATGGCTCAGTACCGCCTCCAAGATGCCTCGGAGAGGATCGATCGCCCACCCCACTGATTCGCGCCCAGCTCGTGCACGCCCAGTCTGATCTGACAGTCCGGACTGCTTCGCTGCCTGTCGCCCTGCCTTCGAACGGGGCTTGGCGCCGTCTGCCCCCCACGGGAAGCCTGCCAGCCACGGGGGGGGAAGCGTGCCGGCCCCGGGGGGGGAGGGGTGGCCCACTGGGGTTGTCGGGGGCGGCAAAGAGGGGGGTGATGATAGGAGTGGGGGGATATCATGGCGGGGGCCATGATATTTCCCCAGACTTCATGGCGCCTCTTCTTATTTCGTTGCGTCCCTGGCCCCCCCGCTGGGCCGCGCACATGCCGCCGGTCATGATTTGCACCCCCCTCTCTTGGACGCCCCTCTCCTGGCCGCTCCCGAGGTCACAAGACAGGAAGCAAAGAGGAGGCGGGAAGGGCAGGCAGAACAGAGAAAGAAAAGAGACAGGGGAGAGGCGCGCGCGAGAGCGGAGAGAGAGAGAGAGAGACCGCCCCGCCGCGCGCGGTATCCGTGGCTCCTTTAAAAAAAAATCGGGGCGGGCCGTTTGGCTCCGTGCTCGGCCTCTGGAGACGGCAGAGGGTCTTGGGGCAAGTTCTGGCCTCGCGAGGCCCTGGTCGGGTCCTGAGAAAAAGACACACGTCGTCGGAAGTTTGGCCCCTCCCTTCCTCCTCCTCCTCCTCCTCCTCCTCCTCCTCCTCCTCCTCCTCCTCCTCCTCCTCCTCCTCCTCTCCTCTGCCTCCTCCTCCTCCTCCTCCTCCTCCTCCTCCTCTGCCTCCTCCTCCTCCTCCTCCTCACCTCCGACCCTTCAACGATAGCTTGGAAAGAGAGGCATCCCGACAGTCTTTTAGCAAGCCCTCACTTTCCGTGGCGTTCTGGACTGCAACATGGCGCCACGCCGAGCCGAAGCCTAGCATGTCTAACATGTCCAAAACTCTATGCTTACATGTTATCCCCTTTGTATTATCCATGTTGCGGCCCCATTTTGATAACCCACGAAATCTGATCAGTTGTTTCGACATACTTTCCAGCAAGCCTTGGAGTATGGAATGCTCAGGCCATGCAAGTACAACCAAGTATTGGTCGTATGGACAAATCATCGCCCAAATTAAGCAAGGATGGCTGCCTTGGCTCCAGGCTCTCGACATCGTCACGCAGCATGAGACAGAGGCGAAATGCAGCACGAAATGCGCGCATCGGTGCTGCGGATAGCTGCGGAGTTGGTGCTGCGGCACAACTTCTTGCGCACGAAGCGCACCGGTAGTCGCGCCCGTCAGGAAGCAGCTTTCCGCCCATGTGCATTCCGACGAGCCATCTCGACGCGTCCGAGGAGGGAGCCTTGAGCAGCACGAGGGCGCACGGCCACGGGCCAGAGCGGGTGCGCGCAGTCGGGCGGAGCGCGGCGGGTGGGCCAAGCGCGCGGAGCAGAGGCGATACCGACCTTCACGTTCAAGACGATCGTCGTCGGCGGGTGCCCGCACTTGGCAGTGCGCATCGGGTCGTTCGTTCCATAGGGCCTGCGGAGGTGCTCCCTGTTCCTCGCCAGCGGGGGAAGCGGGTCCTGAGGGAAACGGGTCCTGGGGGTTTTCCCCGTTCTCGGGCTCTCGGTGGCCTTCCAGGGGACCCGGCACTGTGAGAAAACGACCCGGGGTGTAAGACTCGTCTTGGGGGATTGCATCAGGGTCCAGGACCCGTTTCACTAAGGACCCGTTTCCCCCATTCTAAGATTCGTCATGCTTCAGAATTTTGCAGCATGTCACATGTGTGCCATAAGTCGCCTTTGCAAGTGAGGTTGCTTCCTCCAGCCCTTGCATTGTCCTCATGATTATGCGGTGCTGTGCTGGGCACTGTGGAAGCAGTTGGTTCACCGCAGTCCCTTCTGCGTCGTCGCAGTCCGTGCGGCCTGGGGATGAGGATCGGCGACGAGCGAGGGAGGGAAGTTAGAAGGAGAAGGCCGTCTCCGAAGGCGGCGGGGCTTCTCTCACAAGCCCGCAGGACTTCTCAGAAGTCTTATGCGTCTTCAGGCAAGGCTCAGACAACTGTTCAGAAGGCCAGGGAACTTCCGAGCCTTCCGAGGAGGCACCGATCTGCACCGACACCCAATCGCCCATTCATCGCCGCTAGGGGCCTGCCAGCGCAGCCCGCCCAGGAGCGTGCGCTTTCGCCAGAGGGGTCCTATCGCCGACCATCGGCGACTTATCGACGACTCGGGCTCGATGCTTCCCCCCTGGGCCAGCCACCCTTCTCGTTGACGACGACGAGGTCGAGTCCCGAACCTGTCCAGGAGCGCTCCCTGACCAGGAGCTTGAGGCAAAGCCGGCCAAGGCGACGAGGGCCCACGTCCCCAGCTTTCCCCCCTAGGGCTCGTTTCGTTTCCTCCGATTCGATTCGACTCGACTTCGATGGCGTCCGATTCCGATTCCATTCGCTTTGGAATTCCGTTTTGAGTTCCGATCTCTCATTGGAGGCCTACGAGTTTGCCGATCTCCGCCCATTCGACTTCTCCCGACTCGGTTGCGGATTTTCGCCGATGCGATTCATCGATTCGATTATGGGCTCTCCTGCTTCCACAGGAGGAGGAAGAGGGGGCACAGGCCACTCACTCAAAGCGTGGCTTTTCTCATCCCCAGATCCGAGTCTTCCTGGAGCGCTCTCTTGCCAAGAGTCGACGGCCTCGTGCATTGGACCACCCAGAGCATCTTCACCTCTCGCTGTTGCCAATATCAGCATCATTACCGCTCATATTCCTCCTCATCATCACCATTTCAGTCCCATCATCCTGTGGTGGTGGGGCCTCTTTTTGAAGAGACAGTGCCCCACGTCACTCCTCCCTTCGTCCTTCCTCTTCCCGCTCCTCCCTCCTCCCACCCCTGCCTATGCCCTCCGCTTGCCCATTTCGGCACACCCGTCACCCGCTTCGTGGCTCCACCAGGGGCCCCAACGAGAGCCCAAATGCCAAAGGCCGCATGGCGGCACCGCCTGACGTCGGCACACCCCTCACAAGCTTCGTCGCCCCACAGGAAGCTCAACCAGGGCCCAAATGCCAAAGTCCGCAAATCGGCGCCGTTACATTTCGGCACACCCCTCACGCGCTTCGTGGCCCCATGAGCTCCAACGAAGGCCTGAATGCCAAAGACCGCATGGTGGCGCCACACCCCTTTCGGCACGTCCCTCACTCGTTTCGTGGCCCAGCAGGGGGCTCCAACTGTTCCAATCGCCAAAGACGACATGGCGGCGACACGAAAGCTCGAATGCCAGGGGCCGCATGGCGGCGCCGCTTCATTTCGGCAGCCCCTCACACGCTTCGTGGCCTCTCAGGCAGCTGCAACGAAGGCACAAATACCGAAAGCCGCATGGCGACGCCGCCTCATTCCCGAACGCCCATCACTCGTTTCGTGGCCCCATAGGGGGCCCCAACAAAGGCCCAAATGCCAGAGTCAGCATGGCGGCGCCGCCTCATTTCGGCACACCCCTCACGCGCTTCGCGGCTCCATAGTGATCTCCACTAAACGCCCCAACAAGAGGGCTTGCATGGCATACCCGCTCGCGATTCGGCACGCCCTTCACTCGCTTCGTGCCCTCATAGGGGTCTTCACAGAGGGCCCCAGCACCAGGGTCCGCATGGCGTACCCGTCTCATGCGGCACACCCTTCACGCGTTTCGTGGCCCCACAGAGCTCGCCGAAGTCCTTGGCGGCGGTGTTCGCATGGCGCCGCCCCGCCAGGATATGCTCGCCAGTCCGCCAGTTTGCTTGTCCCCCTCCTCTTGCCTCGCAGCGTCGCGGCACTCGCAGCTCCATAAGGTTGGACCCTTCGCCAAGCTAGTCTTCCATCAGGAGCGAGGTCTGCGGAAGCGTTCCCCTGGAGCGAGCAGTGAGAGGAGCTCTGCAGACCTCTCTTGCCCCAGGAGCCTAAACTCGAAGCACTGCTGCTCGCGCTGGCGCCGGGGGCCCGGGGCCCTCCGGGAGAGGGGCGAGCGCCTTCGGATCGCCCCCCCCCCCATTCCCCCCTGTGGCCGTCTCCTCCTCCTCCTCCTCCTCCTCCTCCTCCTCCTCCTACTCCTCCCTCCTTCTCCTCCTCCTCCTTCTCCTCCTCCTCCTCCTCCTCCTCCTCCTCCTCCTCCTCCTCCTCCTCCTCCTCCTCCTCCTCCTCCTCCTCCTCCTCCTCCTCCTCCTCCTCCTCCCTCGCGCCTCACATGTGCATCGTATTGGAGGTATTCAGTCGGCAAGTCGAGCTTGGCGTTGAGGTCAAGCGGGTGGGGACGGTTTACATCAGGTTACGCAATGTTGGGAGGGCACATGGTAAGTTGTGCGATTGGTTTGTGACCCAGTGTACGAGTCGGAATGCCGAACATGTGCCAATTGCATACCACGAGCAGCGACAGGAGAAGCATACAACCTTCTGAGCCTATCGTGCAAATTAGCAGAGCTCGGCCCCTGCACCAGTTGTTGGAATTTGAATGGTGAAGAAGATTGGAGATTTCGACCTCAACGATCACGGATGCCAACTCTGATTCAGCGTGTACCTAGCGTGATATCAATGTTCGCATCAATTGAGAGTCGTCGGTCAAGGTGCGTGGGCGGGGAAGGAGGTGGGACCCCTCTTGGTTGATTCAGAATGTTGGCATGGCGATAACGAAGTAAGATGTTCAGGCGTGAGATCGGACGGCATTGCAATCGCAAGGTGTTGCTCAATGCCACAGCCACAGAAAGTCGCCATCCACGTCGATACATCCAACCTTCGGCGGCGAGCCCAAGGGGGAAGTGAGACGGGGCGGGCCTTCTCAGAAGGCTCGTAAGTCCGCCAGCCTTCTGAGAAGTGCTATAAGCCTTCCCCGAAGACGCAGAAGAGAGAAGGCCTGCGGGCTTGTGAGAAGCCCCGCCGCCTTCTGAGAAGGCCTTCTCCTTCTCACTTGCCCACCTCGCTCGCCGCCGAAACCTTGCTGATTCCTCATCGTGTTGCATATACGGTCCGCCATGGATTGACGCGTTGCATTGAAGCAGATGCGTGCAATGACGAACACGCGGTCGCAATCTCCTTCACATACGTACACTGTAATTGGTTTGACGCGCAAGGTTTGTTAAAGGCGTATTCAAGCAGGGCATCGAGCCCACGATCGGCGCGACCTTCATGACATCGTTGTTGCTTGCTCCCTCATCATGATGGCTTCTAGTGCCCAGTTCCCACCAGTTCTGTCCGGCGTCTCATCCGATAGCACGTGTTGTACCTCCAAGTAAGTTCGCTGCATGGTCTTGGATTTGCCCATCTTGTCTGCTACCGTTTTCACGCTGGCTTCATGCTAGGGAGTGCCGTGCCCAGAGTTCCGCATCCGCCCGGGAAGTTTCCTGGGCCTCGCTCGGGAGCAGAGCCAGTGGGGAGAGAGGGCCCAGGACACAGACGGTGTTCCTGGACGACATGAAGGTCAAGCTGGAGATTTGGGATACTGCCGGCCAGGACCAGCTCAGTCGTGGCGCTTCGCTTCTGGGAGGAGGAGGAGGAGGAGGAAGAGGAGGTTTGCTGCTCCTTCCGCCTCCTCATCTTCCTCCTCCTCCTCCTCATCCCTCCTTGTCCTCCGTCCGTAGTTATTTTGGCTCAAGTCACGTGTCTCGCTTTCTCGTGGCGCTTGGGGGACGTCAGGGCGGCTGGACTGGAAGAGGGCGCAGCTTTTCTCGACGACAAGCAGAGGCGAAGTGGTTCAAAGTCCATTTTTTCGGTTGCATCATGGGCGGCTTCGGTGCTCGCGTGGCGGCAGCGGAAAGTCCCGGTTCTCAAGCTCCACATTTTGGCATCGCTCGGACGTGTGCATTTTTCCTTCGGCGAGGACCATCGAGGAGCATCCTTGATCATTTGGCGAAAAAACCACGCACTAAACCGAAAAAAACACAGGGAATCGACGTCCGAGCGATGGCCAGACATGTACCCCCCCCACCCCTAACCTGGGCTACCCACCTAGCGCAACCCGGACCTCGGTGACACACAGCTTCTTGGCCCGCGCGGAATAGGCGTGACACCCGCATTCTGGCGACACGCTTGTCTCGGAATGACGCTTCGGCTTGCGCGTGTGCCACTTGTCTGATCAAAAATGTTGTTGCCGCTTAGGCGCCAGCGACGTCCTTCATTGAGAATGTCGATCTCGCCTGGGCGCCAACCAAACGTCTTATTGAAAATGCTGCTGTCGCCTAGGAGCTGGCGACATCCTTCATTCAGCATGTCATGTCGTTCTCGCTGTGCCGCCCCATTATTGGGCATCACTTGCTACAGCGCGCGCGCTTGACACACTGGCGTCGCCGAGCCTTTCGAGCCGTTGGTCACGGGTCGGTTATGCGAGATTGGGTCAGACTCCGACAGTGGTGCTTACCTTGCGCATTTGCCCACGGGCGTTTTGCTGGGAATACCTTGGTTCGTTGCTGCGGGAGTGCGCGGGGCATGTACCTGACAACGTCGGGAAAGGATCATGTACGATTGCATGGTTTTCGAGGCTACAGTCGGGCAGCTCCCGCATGCCACGGCGATCTCCATCAGTCGGCGTACGGACCTCATCAGGATAGGAGGGCACGGAAGCACATGTGGCATCGATGGAAGATGTGCTAGGGAGTCGGCCCGACACGTGCAATCACAGACCTGATGAGCCGTTTCAGCATGTTCAGGGTGGGCAGGATTTGGTTGCGAGCGTCAGCACTGGTGGCCCAGTCTATCCTGCTCAGTTCGTGGGCAGGGATGGCGTACTTAATTTTGTCAGCTTGTGCAGCGAAGCGAAACTCAACGGATGAAAAAGCGTCTCCACACCGGAGCTGGATGGGTTTATAGCTCACGCATGCGCTCGCAGTGTTCTTGTTGGCCTACGTCCGAAGGGGATTCCAGCGACACCGGCGGCGACCGAGCGCGAGACCGTCAGCCTGCATTTCTTCGGTGGGCGCACTGGAACGCACATTGATTTCCACGACTTCGGGAAGGACCACAGGGTCAAGCAGATCATGGAGGAGTTGTTGCGCCGCAACAAAGGTGCTCCGCTTTGGACAGATGACGGAGTTGCGCCTGGTGTCCTCCAACATCATGCTGACTTCAATACGACCGTGACGTGGATGTCCGCATCGACTGCGTGCACGAGGTCGCCAAGCAGCAGTCGGCTTGGTAGCGGCCCGATTGTGGGGTCTGCGGTTTGAAATTGTTTACAGTTCTACAGTTGCGGAGGTTCTCAAGGGCATCACACACAACAGGTACATGGCTGCATCATCGGCGGCATCGCGTGCATCAATTTCGGTTTTGCAGCAACGGGGGCTACAGAGGGGAGCCTGCTTGCGCGTTTACCCACCCGCCCGTTGCGTTTCAGATTATTGCGAAGGCCTTACGGCCGGTGCCGCCGACCCTGAAGACGACGAATTAAAAACGAGGGAAAGGAGGAGCAAGAGGAGGAGACGGAGGCAGAGGAGGAGCAAGAGGAGGGGGAGCAATGGGGGGGAGAAGGAGGAGGAGGAAGAGGAGGAAGAGCAGGAGGAGGAGGAGGAGGAGGAGTAGGAGAAGGAGGAGTAGAGGAGGAGGAGTAGGAGGAGGAGGAGGAGGAGCAAGAGGAGCAGGAGGGGGAGGAGGAGGAGGACAGGAGGAGGAGGAGGAGGAAGAGGAGGCTCCAAGGGCGGATTCGTATCTGACCCCCCCCAACCCCACCCCCCTCGGGACCCCCCCCCCCCGACGGGGGAGGGATCAAAGGGAAGGGGCTTCCCTTTGACGTGGTTACGACGTGGGTCGATTTCCCTCAAGGCCGGTAGAGCACTGCAACGACGACGACGACGACGACGACGACGACGACGAGGACGAACAACCCCTCACACACGCCGACACAGGGTCGGCGGATTTGTTTCTGGTGGGCGGGCTGCAACTGTCAGTCACTGTTTTCAGTTTGTCTGTGGTCATTTCGCTGGTGAATTCAGACTTTGGTGGTAGTTTTTCTGATATTGCAACTGCCGCACCTTTGAAGAAGTCGTAGGGGTCTATCCGTACCCCTTCGGTACTCACTGGTTTCGTGGCAAAGATGGTGGAATGAAGTTTGCAGCTGGTATCGCAACGAGAACGTGCGTGGGGGTGGCGATCTCGTTTGGTACTGTTGTGCGGTGCTTTAAAATATTTGAGGTTGTCCAATGACCAGCGGTCTCTGCTGCACGGACCGCATCGAGTCACCTCTATTTCAACTTATTTGTGTTTCGCGGTTGCAGGCGAGGTGTGTTGTCGGTATGTTCGTGCGCGCGGGTCATCACGGTCACTTTGATGTGTTTCGTCTTCGGGGTCGGCTTCACCGTGGGCAAATACACGGGGTTGCGGGCGCAATGTGTGACGTCACTGGTCGGGTCGACATTCTCATTCTCATTATAATCATTCTCTCTGTGTCCCCATGTTGCTCCTCACGGCGTCGTCCCACTTCTGGTAGGTCCTTGTCTTCATCCTTGGGCCCCCCCCCCCCAATATTTTCCTGGCGGCCACAAGCGGGCCATTTTCAGAATGTCCCCCCCCCTTCCCACCGAGCGGGCGTCCTCAAGAGGGGGGAAGGGCGACGGTTACACCCCGTGGTGATCCCAACGCAAACGGCGTCAGCGTCAGGAAAAGGAGCAGGAGGAGGAGGAGGAGGAGGAGGAGCAGGAGGGGGAGGAGGAGGAGGGGGTGGAGGAGCAGGAGGAGGAGGAGGAGGAGGAGGAGGAGGAGGAAGGAGGAGAAGGAGGAGGAAGAGGACGAGGAGGAGGAGGAGGAGGAGGAAGGAGGAGAAGGAGGAGGAGGAGGAGGAGGAGGAGGAGGAGGAAGAAGAGAACAAGGAGGAGGAGGAGGAGGAAGAGGAGGAAGAGGAGGAGGAGGAGGAGGAGGGACGCAAGTGAAGCCAGCAGCTGGCTCCGAGGGAAGCCGGCAGCTGGCGCTCCGCTCGTCGGTGGGTTGCGGCGGGGCGGCCTTCCCGCGCACCGATTGGTCACGGCTGGCGGCCTGCACGCTTCGCTGTGCGAAGGGAAATTGATCCACTCGCGCGTGGGCTCGCCCATTAGTGTTCTGAAGCTTGTCGAATGAACAAAGCAATGGCATGCATGTGAACTGTCGGAGGTCCGCGCAGATCTCTTGGATCGGCGCTGGGCCCCCTGGCGGGGCCTCCAGCCCCGCCCCTGGCGCGCTCCGCGTGCCAGGTAGGGTAGTCCAGGGCCGATCCAACAAATCTGCGCGGACTTCCGAAAGTTGGTTGATGTGTACCTATGCCGTTGTTTGTCTTCTCATGGTATCGTGTGACGGACGTCTCATATCTTGCCTCGCCCACACAGGCCTTCACCGTTGATCCAGATGCATGGTGTGCAGCGGTTGTCGTAGCGATCGGGTTTGCTGTGTGTATGAAGCCTTAGATTCGTCACGACATGTTTCATTGGCTCAAAGGCATGGTTCCTACACTGCGCGCACAGTAAGTGGCCTTCAGAGCAGCTGCAGAAGTGCCGTTCCTGTGAATGTGTTGGTAATTGCTTCATCTTAGCGTCCAGATTCTAACTTAATCGAACATGTATCGCACAGGTGGGGACAACCATAATGAGAAACATGTGCGAGCGCTGATTAGGGTAGGAAGTGGTTGCGAGATGGTGTGGTACGATGTGCAAGTCGCTTTGTCTGTGGGTGCTGGCGATATTGCTTTAGATGGTTCAGTCTCTCGCGATTTCTCTCTCTCTCTTTGTCGGTATCCCTCCCTCCATGTGTAATATATATATATATATATATATATATATACAAATACAGATGGAGCAGATGTGTTTGTGGGTGTATGCCAAAGTCCTCGTATGCACTGGCATCTGGCTCACGATGTGCGTCCGGTAGTTTGCCGTTTGGCATGGATTCTCCACGTCATGCTTGTGCGTCAAATACATGTACGCGGGGGTCGCACGAATATGATGATCACGATCACGAAACCTATGGTGTCCGTCGTGTTTTCACCGTCGGGTTGAACATTGAACCGATCCGTTGGTGCAGGGTCTGAGTACATCGGCATGGCTCGTCTGTAGACTGTGCACGCATACAGCGTTTACCCCCAGCTCTGTTGTGTCAGTTGACTCAGTTGGCTTGCAGACGTTCTGACGACATGGGCAACGCTCTCCCGAGCCGCCCAGGGAGCCCCCCAAGATGGCCCAAAGGACCCCATGAGACGTCTCCAGGACGGGCCTTCTGGGACCACTTCTGGTTTTGCGGAACGTATCGGGATAAAGAGAGAGAGAGAGAGAGATAGAGAAAAAAATACTAAAAGAAAATCAAAAAGAGAGCGCGAGGGAGAGAGAGATAGAGAGAGAGAGAGGAAACGAAAGCGAGAGAGCAAGGGAGGGAGAGAGAGGGGGAGAGGATGATTCACTTTGTCTGAGCGTTGCGGGAATCGAGGCCCATTGAATTTAAGTAATAGGCATGGTATACACATGCAGCAGCATATCTAAGTCGCTGCACTGGAGGAGCGGTACAAGTCCTTGGCACCGATTTATTTCAGGCCCGCGGCGTGATTCGTAACACGTCAGTTGCTCGTCTTCGCTCCGCCACCTTGCCATATCTCGATTCGCTCGCGTACCACTGCCACCAAATGGACGGCTATGACGGTGACTGTAGTCGTTGGTGACATCAATATGGCCTTGTTGTTCACCACGCTTGCACAGAGTGGGACGGATCAGACTCGACAGGAAACATCTGAAGGAGGACACGATGAGGCGCAGACGGCGGGATAAAAAGAGGTCAGGTGAGTGAAGGACCACACGGAGCGCGCAGTAGAAAGTTTGTACCGCATCAGGGTGCGGGGAATATCCGATTGGGTGGAGCGTGGAGTGTGAAGAAGAGGCAATGCGGACCAAACCGGGGAGGGTGTTTTCTTCCAGCGCAGGGCGCGGACGGCTACAAGAAGAGAGGAGGTGCTGGCGGGGTTGGGCGAAGGTGGGGACGGAGGAAGGAGGAGGAAGGAGGAGGAAGGAGGAGGAGGAGGAGGAGGAGGAGGAGAGAGAGAGAGAGAGAGACAGACAGACAGACAGAGAAGCAGACAAAGAGGGAGAGAGAGAGAGAGACAGAGCGAGAGAGAGAGAGAGAGGGAGAGAACCCGCGGCAGAGGGCGGAGGGTCCTCTCCGCCCTGCGCGCAGCCGCAGCCGCGCCCGCGGGGGGGCCTTGGGCTCCGCCTGCGGGGCCAAAGGACCCCCCGACCGCGAGGTCCACGAGGACGACCTCGCAGACCACCCCCGCCCCAACACGCCCTCGCCGGGCCCCCCTGCACACGAGCGCCGGCCCCCGCCCCGCCGCGCTGGGCCGAGAGGCGCGCGCCCGCGGAGCTCCGCCGCCTCGGAGCTCGCGCCCGCGGAGCCTCGCCCCTGCCCTGCGCCCCCTGCCTGGCCCTGCTCTCCTTGCCCACGGCCCGCGCGGCCCCCGCGGGGCGGCCGCGAGCCCGCGCCAGCGGCAGAGCTCGTGCGCCCACTCTCGCCGGACTCTCCAGCGGCTCGGCGGCGACGAGCCCCGCGCCCGCCGCCGCCTCGGCCGGCCCACCAGGCGGGGCATGCTCCTCCGAGGCGCCCCGCCTCTCGTCCTGCGCGTCCGCCTCCTTCCAGCCGCCGCGGCCGCGCGGGCGCCGGCGCTGCGCTGGCGCCGCCGGGGAGCCCAAAATTCGTCCGCCAAGGCTCGGGACGACCGCAACGGGCACGGAAAGAATGGGCACGATGCCCAACCGCAGCTCCTGTTCCTTCTGAACAGGGCTGGCTGTCCGCGCCGCCGCAGACGCTGTTCGTTGAAGACACAAAGCCGCCTGCCCCGCAGCGGCCAGTTTTGGACAACAGTTGTGCTTGGGCATTGTACGCATTTTTTCCGTACCCGTTTCGGGCGTCCAGAAAGGCGGGGGAGGCAGGTTTTGGGCATCGCTCGGACGTGTGCATTTTTCTCTCGACGAGGAGCATCGAGGAGCATCCTTGATCATTTGGCGAAAAAAACCACGCACGAAACCGAAAAAAGCACAGAGAGTGGACGTCCGAGCGACGGCCAGGGCTGCATGCCGAGATCGGCGATCGCCGTGCGGATGGAGCTCCGCAGCCGCCCACGGGAGGCGCGCGCCGGCGCGCGCTGCGCTCCTGTGGCGGATGAGCCCCGCTGCCGCGTGGACTACCGTCCGGGCCCCTTGGCGAGGCCTCTGGAGGCACCGCGGCGGCGGCGGCGAGCCGGCAAGCGCGCGGCCTGAGCCGAGGCAGTGTTGGAGGAGGGGGAGGAGGCCAGTAGCAGCAGAAGCGTCCGCAGCTCGAAGCTCGAAGGAAGAGGAGGAGGAGGAGGAGGAGGAGGAGGAGGAGGAGGAGGAGGAGGAGGAGGAGGAGAAGAAAAAGGGGGGGGACGAGGAGGGGAGGGGGAAAGGGAGGAGGAGGGGGAGGGGGAGAGGGAGGAGGAGGGGGGGCTCCGAGGAGGAGGGGGAAGGGAGAGGAGGAGAACGACGAGGGAGGAGTGAGGAGGAGGCGGAGGCAGAGGAGGCGGCGGCGGCGCTGTGGCCGGCTCCGCGCCGGCCAGGGGGGCCGCGGCGACGATCGTCGTGTACGACATCTCGAACAAGGCCTCCTACGACGCCGCGAGGCCCCTCCTCCTCCACCTCCTCCTCCTCATCCTCCTCCGCCTCATCCTCCTCCGCCTCCGCCTCCTCCTCCTCCTCCTCCTCCTCCTCCTCCTCCTCCTCCTTCTCCGCCTCCTGAGGCAATGAGGCAGTGACGGCAATGGGGATCTCCGAACGCTGCCGCTTCCCCCAGGGAGGCCCGGTCGGGCTCCCCTGGGGGAGTAGACCAAACACAAAATTAGGGGCCGAGGCCCCGCATGACAGGAGGAAGGGAGAGGGGGAGGAGCACGAATCATCAGAACATCACATCATTACCCCTGGAGAAAGGGAAAGGAGTTGGGTTGAGGCAGCATGGTGGCGTGTGGAAGAATAAACAAACAAACAAAAACAGTCAACGGAAAAACAACAATCAAAAAAAGAAGTAAACAAAATTCCAACAACAACAACAGCAACAACAACAACAACACCGAGCACGACAACGACAACAACAGCAACAACAACAACAGCAACAACAACGACGACGACAACAACGTGAACAACAACAACAACAACAACAACAACAACAACAACAACAGCAAAAACGGTGGAAAAAAAAAAAAAAAAAAAAAAAAAAAAAAAAAAAAAAAAAAAAAAAAAAAAAAAAAAAAAAAAAAAAAAAAAAAAAAAAAAAAAAACAAACAAAAAAAAAAAAAAAAAAAAAAAACTGCCGCCCCGGCGCGGGCCGCCCGCCGCTCCCCAGGACGTGGGTGCAGGAGATCCGGGAGGAGGCCCGCCGCGCGCCTTGGGCGGGGCCCGAGCCTCCTGGTCCTCCCTCCTCCTCCTCCTCCTCCTCCTCCTCCTCCTCCTCCTCCTCCCCCCCCTCCTCCTCCTCCTCCTCCCTCCTCCCTCCTCCCTCCTCCTCCTCCTCCTCCTCCTCCTCCCTCCTCCCTCCTCCTACTCCTCCTCCTCCTCCTCCTCCTCCTCCTCCTCCTCCTCCTCCTCCTCCTCCTCCTCCTCCTCCTCCTCCTCCAGGTCGTCGGCAGGTCTGGCAGCAGGCTTACGACCCAGTGCCTCAGGGGCTACGTTTGGGGGGCTTGGCATCGCTCGGACGTGTGCATTTTTCCGTCGGCGAGGACCATCGAGGAGCATCCTTGATCATGTGGCGAAAAAACCACGCACGAAACCGAAAAAAAACACAGGAAATGGACGTCCGAGCGATGGCCAGGGCGGGGCCCGAGCCTCCTGGCCCTCCATCCTCTGGCCGCCAGGTCGTCGGCAGGTCTGGCAGCGGGCTTAGGACCCAGCTTGGCATCGCTCGGACGTGTGCATTTTTCCGTTGGCGCGGACCATCGAGGAGCATCCTTGATCATCTTTTGGCGAAAAAAACGCACGAAACCGAAAAAAAACAGGAAATGGACGTCCGAGCGATGGCCAGGGGGGGGGGGGCAGGCTCGGGGGGGGAAGCATCCACCCCCGCTTGCCGACGGATCGCCGACGGGGGGCTCGATGGCCCACCCCGCCCGGGAACGTGCGGATTCGCAATCGGAGGCTTCTCGCCGATCTATCGGCGGTGTGTCGCCGACTCCAGCTCGATGATTCCCCCTGGAGCCAGTCGACCACTGACGTTTCCCGTCATATTGTTGCCGTGGTTATCTTTCCTCCCCTGGCATTCGCCGGGGAAGGAGGGCGTAAAAGAGGTTATCGCAAATCTGGCAAATTTGAAAGTGACGGGGAGAGAGGTGAGCGACAACTCCATCCTCCTCCCCATTTTTTCTAGCACTGCGTGATGTCCAGACGAACCAGATTCCAGAGGCCACAGCAGCCCCACGGTGCTGGTCTTGGCTGGGCCCAGACGATGCCAGACGCTTGGCATCGCTCGGATGTGTGAATTTTTCTTCGGCGAGGACCATCGAGGAGCATCCTTGATCATTTCGCGAAAAAACCACGCACGAAACCGAAAAAAAACAGGGAATGGACGTCCGAGCGATGGCCAGGACGATGTCCGCAGCGGCGGTCTCGGGGCTCAAAGGACGGGGGTCAATGTAAACGCGGGTCAGCCAGAGCGCCAGGTCTTCCAGGATCCTGCAGAGCCAGGGCTGCACTGACCTGGGCTGGGGCGCAGGATCCTGCAGAATCCTGCAGAGCCTGAATGACCCGGGTCTGGGTTGACCCGAATTAGTAGATTTCCGATAGTCGTTCGCTCGTTCTTTCCTCCTCTCTTCTCGTCTCATCCTGTCTCCTCATTTACCCTCGTCCTCACTCCTCTCCTCCTCGTCCTCCTCCCGTCTCCGCGCACTTCCTCGCGTTCTCCTCCCTCTTCCCCCCCCTCCTCCTCCACCCCTTCTCCTGTGCCATCTCCTTCGCCACTCTTCGGCCACGCGCAGAAGGGGGGCAGGGGGGTGGAAGGCTCCTCAGCAGTCCTGGATCGAGACGCGCGAAGCCGGAGAGGTCCCCAGGAGCGGGCTTCGAGGGCGCTCGACGTTCGATCCATCCCTTGTTGAGGATGGCCCCACCATAGGCCGCCGCGGGAAGCAGGGCAGGGACGCAGAGCGTGGCCTCCAGAGCCTAGATCTTGGCATCGCTCGGACGTGTGCGTTTTTTTCCTTCGGCGCGGACCATCGAGGAGCATCCTTGATCATTTGGCGAAAAATCACACACGAAACCGAAAAAAACACAGGGAATGGACGTCCGAGCGATGGCCAGCGTGGCCTCCAGAGCCTGGACCTTTCTCCGCGCCCCCACTCCGCCCCCTCATGGAGTTCTGGCGTGAGCCGGGGTGTGGATAAGCAGGGCCGTTCGCGGTGAGGTCGGTTCGGATGCGTTGCCGTGGGTTGCTTGGCATCGCTCGGACGTGTGCATTTTTCCTTCGGCGAGGACCATCGAGGAGCATCCTTGATCATTTGGCGAAAAAACACGCACGAAACCGAAAAAAACACAGGGAATGGACGTCCGAGCGATGGCCAGGGATCTTTCTCTGCGCCCCCACTCCGCCGCCTCATAGGGTTCTGGCGTGAGCCGGGATGTGGATCAACAGGGCCGTTCGCGGTGAGGTCGGTCAGGATGCGTCGCCGTGGGTTGTGTTCGGTCGGTCGTGGTGTCGTCGTTGTGCCGCTGTGCCCTTCCGGGCTGCTTGTCGCTTGCCTGTCTCGGTCCGTTGGGTGCGTTGTCGTCGGCTCTCGGCCGTGTTTCGGTCTTGCGTCGCCGTGGACGGCCCTGGAAGCTGCGAGAGAGCCACGAGGGAGAGGGAGGAGTTCGTGAAGGAGGGTGCCCATGGGGCTTCAGACCCTGGCGGATTCCTCATCTGCTGCGGGCGGCGGTGAGACCCATGGCCAAGCCTCCAATTGGCCCTCCACCAGCCTCCGGACCCTGGATTCCTTGTGAAAGGGCTCCCTGCGGCAGGTTCGCGTCGCGTCGACTGGCGGCGACCCCAGCGCGTGCGTTTGAGGTCGAGCGCCGCCCGTGGCCCAGCATCGGCCCGTGTTTGAGCGGTCTGGCGTGAACGGAGCGGCCGATCGTTCGAGCTCGAGCGATCCCCGCGGTGTCGGGAACCAACGCTGGGGTCGACGCGGCGCGAACCTGCCGCACCCGATGCCCTCGCCGTAACAGCAGGCAGACAGTGCCGTTTCTAATACATGCTCCGCGTGCGGATCATGTATCAAAAAGGCTGGGGTTTAGTATGAAAAACAGCGATGAGTTCATGCACAAATTTACTCATACATTGATCGTGTATCACAAATCCCATATTGCGAAGGCCTTACGGCCGTTGCCGCCGACCCTGATAATGACAAAAGACAACACGAGGGGGGGGGCACGAGGAGGAGGAGGAGGAGGAGGCGGAAGGGAGTAGGAGGAGGAAGGGTGAAGGGGGAGGAGGAGGAAGCCTTATGGATGTTGGTTGGGATCTCGTGGTTTTATTCATACATTGATCGTGTATCACAAATCCCATATCTTAAAAATCCCACGTGTTAAAAACTGCCCTGCAGTGAAGGAGGGCCGCGCGGATTCCTCGGGTCGGCGCCAGGCCGCCCCCTGGCGCCGCCGCTGTCGCGCTCCGCGCGCCCAGGGTTAAGTCGGGCCTGTCCCCCTACAGGGGGATTTTCGACGAAAAATAAAAGATACCCCAAAAATACCCAAAAAAAGCCAAAAAATACCTATACGACCACCCTTCGGGTGATAAGGAGGTTCGGGGGGGGGAGGAACCAACGTCTCACTCGATCGGTCTCACTATCGATCTCAGTATCGGTCTCGCTCGATCGATCTCAGCATCGGGATTTTCGACGAAAAATAAAAGATACTCCAAAAATAGTCAAAAGATAGCCCAAAAATAGTCTGGGGACTATTTGTTGTATCGGAGGTGAGGGGGTGAGATCGAAGTGAAACGGAGAGCCCCCCTACCGGGAAATCGATTTCGGTTTCATGTTCGTGCGTGCCGTGCGTGCGGGCGAGGCGAAGCTGCGTGGGCGGGCGAGAAGAAAGTCTCCTGTGGCTGAGGCGCGGCCGGACCAAATGTCTCCCTTCCGGGCGGCCGGTGGCCCGCGGTGTCCCGCCGGTGTCCCGCTGGTGTCCCGTGTGGCTGAGGCGCGGCAGGACCAAATGTCTCCCTTCCGGGCGGCCGGTGGCCCGCGGTCCCCGCGGTGTCCCGCCGGTGTCCCGCGGTGTCCCGCGGTGTCCCGCGGTGCCCCGCGATGTCCCGCCGGTGTCCCGCGGTGTCCCGCGATGATGATGATGATGATGATGATGATGATGATGATGATGATGATGATGATGATGATGATGATGATGATGATGATGATGATGATGATGATGATGATAATGATAATGATAATGATGATGATGATGATGATGATGATGATGATGATGATGATGATGATGTTGTTGTTGATGTTGTTGATGTTGATGATGTTGATGATGTTGATGTGGATGTTGATGATGAGATGATGATAATGATGATGATGGTGATGCTGATACTGATGCTGCTGATGATGCTGATGTTGATGCTGATGATGATGATGCTGATGATGATGATGCTGATGATGATGAGGACGATGATGATGATGATGATGATGATGATGATGATGATGATGATGATGATGATGATGATGATGATGATGATGATGATGATGATGATATGATCGAGTGAGATCGAGTGTGAGATAGATCGAGTGAGATCGAGTGAGATCGATTGTGAGATCGATTGTGAGATCGATCGAGGGAGATCGATCGAGCGAGACCGATACTGAGATCGATAGTGAGATCGATAGTGAGACCGATCGAGTGAGACGTTGGTTCCTCCCCCCCCCGAACCTCCTTATCACCCGAAGGGTGGCCGTATCGGAGGTGAGGGGGTGAGATCGAAGTGAAACGGAGAGCCCCCCTACCGGGAAATCGATTTCGGTTTCGTGTTCGTGCGTGCCGTGCGTGCGGGCGAGGCGAAGCTGCGTGGGCGGGCGAGAAGAAAGTCTCCTGTGGCTGAGGCGCGGCCGGACCAAATGTCTCCCTTCCGGGCGGCCGGGGCCCCGCGGTGTCCCGCCGGTGTCCCGCTGGTGTCCCGTGTGGCTGAGGCGCGGCAGGACCAAATGTCTCCCTTCCGGGCGGCCGGTGGCCCGCGGTGTCCCGCCGGTGTCCCGCGGTGTCCCGCGGTGTCCCGCGGTGCCCCGCGGTGTCCCGCCGGTGTCCCGCGGTGTCCCGCGATGATGATGATGATGATGATGATGATGATGATGATGATGATGATGATGATGATGATCGAGTGATGATGATCGAGTGATGATGATCGAGTGAGATCGAG